TGGAAACCATGGATGTACTCATTTCTTTCTACGTCATGGTGGATAGTCAAAAGGATACAAGGTGAGTCTAAATGCGTATTTAAAGTGTGTCACTTTTTTCAGTTTCATTTAGTCCATGCTGTTATCGCGGTGTACATTTGGAACACAGTTGTGTCTTGTGAAAGCTGCTAGCTTAGTGCTGTTACAAGTTACAAATACTGATATAGTGTTACATCTTCTGGCAATCATATGTGGTTGGAGTTGTACAGCGTTTATTAGTAATGGATTAATATACATTCAAAATGTAGAATTTGTTAAACTTATGTTAATTAGTTAATCAAATTTTGCGTCACTGCAACACATTCTTTGAGCTATTTTTTAGTGTGTGTATGTGTTACTTTATTCAAATCAATCTGTATACACTGAATACATTCTATTGTAAAACGCCTGTTGTGCTCCGGTGACGTAGACAGACGACCGCGTGCATTACTTTGGTGCTTTAGCATGGTTTCTCATGGGTTAGAATGGGCAAGTATTTGACACTGGGCATGAGCTATGGTGGCACGTTAGCATTGTTGTTAGCATTGTTGTTAGCATTGTTGTTAGCATTGTTACAGACAGCACAGCACATGGAGGTGACTCTAACATGAGTAGTTTTGTTGTTAGCATTGTTACAGACAGTGGAACACATGGAGGTGACTCTAACTTGAGTAGTTTTGTTGTTAGCATTGTTGTTAGCATTGTTGTTAGCATTGTTACAGACAGCGTAGTTGACTTTGGATGCAGTTTTAGCTATGTTTGCCACATAAACACTATTACTGTTACAACAGTGACCACATGTGTGTACTAAAATTGTTTTATGTCTCCTTAGATGAATGCTGAAGTGATGTGCAGCGATCCACAGAAGTACATCTGATATGAAGGGCAGCTTTGTTTTGCGTTATTCTTAAAATGTAGTAAGTGGGAAATATGTAATTATCTTTAGCTTCAGGGGCATTATAAAGTAAAATGCTTTGATAATATTACATTGTACTCCACTCTGAAATGCCTTGATACTTGTAAACAATCATAAACATACATTTGTTTTTGCAGTTGCAAAATAAATGGATATTCCAACTTTCAAAGTCTATGATGAGACGAAGACTGAGGTTGATGAAGTATTTGAATTTCTCCTCAAGAAGGAGCGTTTGGGTGTGCTAGATGTTTGTTCACCAAAGGGTGTGTGTTTTTTAAATAATTAATTAATTTAATGCTGTATTTTCATATATTAAGGTTTTTATTTTGACAACTATGACTTTATGTTGCAGATGGGTTGAGCTCCCCAAAGTGGAGATACCGAGGTTGACTCTGAGGACGCGATCATAGCAGTTTAGACCTGTCAATAGAACTGAGGATGCTCGTCTCTCACATGTGAGCTTGATGGTTATATATATATGCACCACACTATGTAGCTGATTAAGTTATTTTATCGTTACCATTGTAAACACTTTGTTTTATGTTTCCAGATTGAGAGCATCCCAAAGAACAAACCAGGAGGAGATTGAATCTTAAGCGATTATGCTCAAAAGCCTTACAGACAGCAGGAGACGTGATATGGTCAACATTTTGGTTGCGCATATGACAAATGAACATGGTAAAACATTGCTAATTTTGAAAGTTTCACTGTTTCATAACTAAAATATAACCTATTATTTTAAAGAAGTCCTTCAAGGCGTGTAAAAGACGAATATGCCAGAGGAATTATTGCCTTGTTATCTCTGTTTGGCAGATCCAAAGAGCTAACTTGGTATGATACTTAACTCCTCTGAACATTTGTATCCGAGTCATTCACAGGCATGTTGTCAAACTATGTTTTTATTTCAGGAGCACTATTACCGTTTTTCTGGCTGTGTCCTATAGGGATGTAAATCGGCGACCGTTTAACCGGTGGTTGACCGTCACAGCGTTAACCGGTCAAAGCTGTCGGTTAAAAAAGAGAAAAAGGGGAGAGGGGAGGTCTCTTAATAACGCTATTTTAATCCCTATTTGCACGTTGTGACGAGCGGGTCTGTATCTAGCTGTGTGCGCCCATGTATTATAAACTCCGGGACGACTCTCACGCCGCACGAGCCACATATGCACACACGCACGCACACACGCACGCACACACGCACGCGCGCACACACACACGCACACACACGCGCACACGCGCACACACACACACACACTTTCCCCCTCTCCATACGTAACATCCACACGCATCATCTCTCCCCTCTGTTACCGTCAAAGTTGCACACTGGCGCGGGTCAGAACTACATTGGAGCTTACATTTACACACACACACATATACATACACACACACATACACACATACATACACACACACATACACACACACATACCGGTCTGTCGCGCTCCTCTGTGTCACGGAGCCCAAAGGATTCGCGCAAATACGCGGCTCCAGTCAAACCACATGGAACATGTTTGTGTTTATGGTCCTCGGGATCAGCTCCACACACATCACTTGTATTTAAACTTTTGTGAAGACCTGTGAGACGCGTCACTCGCTGCTCTGACCATGTGAACGAGCCGTCGTTTGCTGCTAGAAAGTTTTGGTATTAACCCGCAGCACAGCAGAATGGGAAGATTAAAAAAGCAGTTCTCTGTGCGCAAAGGTGCCGGAGCTGTTGCGGGTTTGGGCGCCGCTGTCTCGGCTCTGATCCAGTAGAACGCAGAGCTGCACTTATGAAAAGTACGCGGCTCGAAATGGCTGTTATTTCAAAGAACGTGGACTATTTTAAACTACGCGGTTAACCGGTTTCAACCGGTTAATGAGGCTCGGTGGTCGGTCATGAAAATTCATAGTTTTTTTACATCCCTAGTGTCCTATGGTCCCAAAAGGACACCATTACCAAAAGGTTAGTTAAAGACTGTTGAGTTATTCTGTTGGAAAAGGTAAATTATTTGTATGTTTATTTGTCTATAGGTGGTCCGCATGCTAACTGAGATACCTACAAGAGGAAGATTGATCTGTGCTGGCAGAAAGTCTATTCTGTGAAGCAATTGCTCTCATGAAGCACACAATGGATGAAGCCATAGTCAAAGAGAAGATGAAGCAGACATGTCACTATCGTCAAAATATGGTCCTGAAAAATCTCTCGGTCTTCACAATGTTTTCAAGATTTCTGGATATATCAGGACTGGTAAGTCACCTTAAATATTGATATTGTTAATGTTGTATCAACATTTCATTATGTCTTTCGTTATAAAACAGATAGAGCAGGACTTCAGACTTACAGTATGCTTGATGATGCTACTTCAACAAAATTAGCCAATTGTCTGCAATCAAGAATTAAAGCTGAGTCCACCTCTAAAGTTGAAGGTGAGTTTTTTTATATTGGTGAAAATGGATCGTGTCACAAACACAGTAGATGACTTCCGTTTGATCTTTTTCAGGCTGGGGCAATGACATGTCTTCTTCTTCTACTTCACCAGACATGTCTGTGACCATCTCACTGTTTCTCAAGGTAAGGTCACCTCGCTTTTTCTAACTTTTTGGAAGGGCTTCATTATTAACGTATGCTTGTTAATTTTCTAGACTGGGACCAGCATTCAAGATCATCTGCACGGAATCACAGAAAGGCATCAACCCTAATATTTGGATTTCTGTGTCAACAGTGTGCATGTTCACAAATGGAATGAGAATTTTCTATTGAGCAAGTATTTGGTGCCAAATAAAAGGGTATGTGAAAAAATGTTTGATCTTTTTGTCATATTTCACATTTTTAGGAGCTTGTGGAGAAACTATCACTCAAAATTGAGTTCTTTTTAGGGAGTAAAATACCATGGAGTAAATTTATAGTTCCTCTCGCAAGAGTAAAACTAGAGTAAGAGTCAATTTAAATGTTCTCTGCAGAGAGTGAATTTTACTATTAAAGAGTAGAATTTTTACTCTAAATTGAAGAGAAATTACTCCGATTAAACGACTCTATCAAAAGAGTTAATTTGACTCTTTTTAGAGAGGGACCAAATGTTATCAAAAATGGAGTTAAATTTTCCTCAATTTGAGTAAATTTTACTCTAGCGATTTTACTGTGTATGAACACATGATTGATCCCCCACCGCACGTCACTGGTGTAGCCAGGTCTCTAATCTGCGCAAGGCTGAGAAAGAGCGCTCAGAGGCTGCGACAGATATTAGCCAGACAGAGCTTCATAAGCTTCTCCGACAGCATGGAGCGGGTTTTGGGCTGCAAGGAACGCAGGATAGTGATAACTTCTCGCTCCCGGCACACGCGGAGGGGGTGCGGCCGCACCCCCCGCACCCCTAGTTCCGACGTCTATGCATATAGGGGTAAGAGGGAATGAGATGGCGGACAGATACGCTAAAAAGGGCGCAAGGAGTGGGGCTCTGGATTTCCCTGTTAGAATAAGCAAGGCAGAAGTGAAAAGTCTTATCAAAGTTAGAATTAAAGAGATGTGGCAGAGAAGCTGGGAGGAGGAGGATAAAGGACGGTTTTATTTTAATGTGCAACATCAAGTGGGACAAGAGGTAATAGGAGGAGAATTCAGCCGGAGAGAGGAAGACGTGATAACACGACTGAAATTAGGACATACCTACTTGAACGGTACATTAAGTTTAATGGGAAAACATCCGACTGGACAATGTGAGCACTGTGGAGGCAGAGAAACTGTTGAGCATGTCCTTATGGAATGTGTAAGATACAGAAGACCAAGAGAGTTGCTTAAGATCTATGTGAATGGGCACAACAGAACATTTTCCTTAAAAGAAGTATTGAGTGGGTGTAGTTCGGTAGGGGGGGTTAGAGTAGTTTTGCGTTTCCTTCGAAGCGCAGGGTTATTCTTTAGAATATAGAAGACTGAAGGACTGAAGGGGCCGTCCTGGCCCACACTCCATTTCGGAAGGTGGCGGTAATGCACCTCAAGGTTGTTTGCCAACCGCCAATAAACCTCAATAGAAGAAGAAGAAGAAGAAGAACGGCTCACGTGACCGCGCGTAATATTTGCCAAAACAGAAGCAAGATGGCGTCGCACTCGGGAGGAGGCGATCAAGGTACGAATTATTGAATTTTAAGAAATCATTAAGTAATCTACGTTGTCAGATTGTGTACGGAGGTCATTGTGTGAAGTGTGTTTTGGTAGATAACTTGAAATGACTGGAGATAACAAAGCATGTTTTTGTTGGGTCTTCACAGCTAGCGACAAACAAGGAAAGTTAGCTTGTCTGCTAAATGGTGGCTCTTAGCTGCTATGCTTTATTTTTTCACAAGTAGTTTACTATACATCATACAAAACATATATAAACAGCACAAGTAGCATTTGTGTTATTCTAGTGAACTGTGAACAGCGACAGTAAAGGAAGAAGCAACATGTCATATTAGCATTACAATTTCTTATGTAATTTTGCAAACTTTGCTATACAAGTATCAGTAGGTATACAGTTCCACTTTCACAATTTTACTTGTTTGATTTGTTAGTGCAATAGAGTTCTCTCAGTATCCCTGTGTGTATCAGTGTTGTAGCAGAATTTTCTTACTTAAAGACGTCTTTATCTTTTAGATAAAAACGACATACTGGAAGTTGGAGCTGTTTTGTTAAAAGAGTAAGTGCTGCCTTCCTCTAAATATACACATTATTCCAAACTGGCTATGTTTAATATGTTGTGTTTTTAGTTTCATATTTGAGCGAGTCAGAAGACATGGGGAGTGCAATGCAGTGGTCACAAGGGAACAGTTGGGGGCAAGAGAACTGTGTGACCCAAACCACAAGAAACTGGCCCAGTGTCTCCAGCAGATTGGTGATGAATTGGATGGAAATATGGATCTCCAACGGTAACCTGAGATAAAGTGGCCTGACACGGTTGCACATATATTTTATGGAGCTATAAAAAGATGACAATCAATTTTTCCTCTAGAATGATATCAAATTCGTCACTGAAACCAACGAAGGACATTTTCTTAAAAGTTGCTGTCGAGATCTTTTCTGATGGGAAGTTTAACTGGGGAAGAGTCGTGGCACTATTCTACTTTGCTTGCCGGCTTGTTATTAAAGTAAGTTTTTTCCTAGTTGCAATATAGCTAAGCTTGAATAAATACATATACAAATGTGTCTATACATTTACAGAGTAAATACATATGAGTGTCTGGCCCATGGATTTATTGGTCTGACCACTTCTTTTAAATTGTAGGCTCTTGTGACTCAAGTTCCTGATATCATTAGAACAATTATCAGTTGGACCCTGGACTACATCCGGGAACATGTGATCAACTGGATCAGAGAGCAGGGAGGATGGGTAAGACGCTAGCTCACTTTAAACTTTTAACAAGTCATTTTACTTTATCTTTGTATTTTGTTTTTTTATATAGGAAGGAATCCGTTCTCATTTTGGCACACCCACATGGCAAACGGTTGGTGTGTTCCTGGCTGGCGTTCTCACCACTGTTCTCGTCATTCGTAAGATGAGTTGAAGATTTGCGGCTGTATTTAGGATGGACGACGTGTGGTTGAAAGAAGTTGGAGAAGCTACCATGTGCATGAGCTTCCCTCTTTGGACTGGACTTTTGTGGCATACATTTGAATGCCTGAGAATAATTAAGACTGGAGCTGTCAAAGATTTTGCAGATGGGAATGAAACATACATTTTTAGTAATTTATTTTTTATGGTACAAAAACATGAATTGTCACCGCAGACTGTTTTCTTGTAGAATGATACAGGACAGGTTGAATGAAATCCTCTTCATGTTGTTATCATTTGCGTTATTTTGTCTGACTGCCTTTCATGCTTTAGTTTACTTGGGTAATCTACATCCAGTGATATGGTTGTAAAGGATGAGAATAATTTCAGGTTCCTAATTTGGTTAACATTGTTTTGCTGACTCAAATAGGATTGTGTCACTGCATTTACCGGTATTTTAGTTTTACCTTGATAATGAAATGTTCAACATGTAATGTAAAATTCTTCCATATTATATTTTGGCATGTAAGAAGTCTGCCCATGTTTTTGCTTTGTGATGCGAAGCAATACAATGTTATTTCCTGTTGGAAACCAGGCAGTTGCTCTGCAAAGAAAGTGCACTGGATTGCTCACAGATGCTTACCTCACCTTTTATAAGTACTGTATATCTCACTGTGAGCTAATCAAACAATCACACAATACCTTTATTCTTTTGGTTGTTGTCAGTGCCTTCATGTTCTTTTTATTTTCGAAAACTTCACCTTTGATATTGCAAATTTTTCACGTTTTCTATCACATTTGTAATGATTGAGGATGTTCTCCCAATAATCCCTTTGCAGTGACTTTGTAAAATGAAAAATAAAAGCTTTAATAATTGTATAAAGGACTCAAGTAGATGTTGCTGTATCTGAATTCTTTTCATGGCAATTGTGACCGGAAATTGTGCTGGCTAGTTTCAGTGCACACAAGTTGCATGCATGAAAAAATCTTACTAGATAAAAAGTGCACTGAATTATTAACTGTTATACATATATAAATTATATATACACATATACACACACACACTTCTTGATTGGCTATGCTTTATCAATCTGCAACAACTACTAAAGCAGAGGTATGTTGTAATAAACCTATATATGATTCATCCACAAGCAGTAGTAAAAGCAGAAGTAAAAAAATAAAACTTTATTTGACTTATAACATTCTGGGGAGGGGAAAGTACCATGGTCGGTTACACACATATCAAACGGTAAAAAAGCAGCAGTTTATGGCATGGAAAAATGAATGGATTGTCAACAACGATATCACACAGCGTTTTTTTCTCTATCTGGTTTCGAGGAATCCATCTTTGACTCTCCATCTCCAGGTGGGACTAAAGTCAGGGGCCGCCGTACAGCACAGGTCAAGTCCAGACTCCAGGACCTCCTCCGTATGGCTGATCCCTTGGCCTGTGTGTGTCTCTAAAGTAAAAACCCTCTCAGAGATCTAAAAAAAAATACATACAAAACATTATTAGTTCTATTCCTCATTGGCACAATATTTAAATGTGCACTTTGTGACTCGTGATGTTTGCAAGTGTCTCTATAAAAGATAAATGTTACTAGAATATTAAGTGGAGTTTCAATGCAACCTTATTAGAGTCCTTTTTAAAACATACAAAAGACAAAGAATAACAAACAAATAGTTATGACAGTTTAAAAGACAGCCATAGCAGTGTCTTCACATCTTGGACTGAACTTGATGTTTGCCAGCACTAGTATTATTTCATTTTCTGACTCCCATGGTGATATTAAGCATATAATTAAAGATTAGATAAAAGATTCTTTCTTTGTCCCACAGTGCAAGCATGGAGAGAATAACACAATACAATTTATTCTTGTATCGCCCTAAATCACAGCAGCAGTCATCTCGGAAGACTTAAAACCATTGAAATCACCAACACAGATCAGAGAATCAACAGTTAAGACACAAAAAGAAAGTTAAAGACCTTATGCCGGGTTTAAAAAAAAAAATTGTGGATATCAAAATTGCATGACAACGTCAATCTGAAAGAGATTCCGGCAAAAAAAAATCCTATATTTTATAAAAAGAACGTGTTTTTCATGAATTTAAGTTGTCTATGCTCTAACCTGTGTGTGACGTCATAGTGGGTAACGCCCATGCATTGAAAACCATGGATCTATGCCACAGGACTGCCTTTTCTCTCTTCTCTCCACTGATGCCCAACACAATACTGCACTCTACAGGTGACAACTGCTCACTACACATAAATTGCCGTTTTGAGAGTGAAAAAGTGTCTGAGGTGGGATTTGAACCCCAGTATCTGGATTGGCAGTGCATCGACACAACCACTGGACTACCTCAGTGCCAACGATGTATTACTTTCTAGTACTTATTTCACACTCGCTGTACACGGCCTTGTCATCTTGAATATCCGCAAAAAAAGAACGAATACCAAATTGTAAACAACTTACAGCGTTGAAACGTACCCACTCTAACGTCACCAAGGGCTGTGAAGTTTTTTCGTTTCTAAGGGTGTTATGGGGTTATTTCGATTTGGGGGGATCAGACAAAAAAAACTAACAACTGATTTTGAAACCTTTAGTAGTTCTCTTCTAATATAAAATGGTATTAAAACTGTATTTCTAAATAAATCAAACCCGGCATAAGGTCTTTAAAAGATCTAGGAACAGTTGGAATTCATTGATTTTGAAGTTAGTACAAGATAGCTGTAAGTAAGTGAGAAATCTTTATGTATATACCGCCTTTCACAGACCAGAGTCACAAAGCGGTTTACAATTGTGGGCATTTGTCTTTCTCGCCCCTACAGGAGGCACATGCCAGATCTATTGTACATGTTTTTAGTGGTAGGGGAAACTGGAGCACCCAGAGGAAACCTAGAAACAAGAGCTATCCACTCAGTCACTGTGCCGCCCTATGTAATTGAATAAATGCAAGATTGATATATTTTAATGTAATGTGATTTCAGGCAAAGCAATAGTGGAAAAGTGACATAGTGCGCCTTTATTCAAACAAAACAGACTTTAATTTGAGACTGTACCTGGTCACTGATGCCTGTGGCGATGTGGCCCACTGTCACACGCCGGACTTCTCTGATCTGGATACTTTTACGACTGAAATCTTTGATGCACACATCCACTCCTGGACACAGACAGACAAGTTCAGATTTAAACGTTCAAAAACCACAAAATAAAACTACTATTCTTGCCTTCAAAACAGCAGGGAGGTGGAAATTGTGAGGGACAGAGAAAGTCCATGCTGAACACCTGTCCATCTGTCAGACTGCTGCAGGAGTAAACACCAGAGCTGAAGTCGTCTCCTGGACTGAGGGACCAGCGACCAGAGTCCTGTGAGGTAAAAACAATGTTGAATTTTCAGAATGAGGATATGTGACAAGATAAGATAGAATGTCATTTTGGGCTTGTGGTTTAGTGCCCTCTATGATGCTGGTATTCATATGTTGATATTGTCTTTGTAAATTCAGATAAGAGCCATTAGAAATTGATCAATAATATTAGCGAAACTCAAGCTTGCCTTAAGTCTGGTTCACACGAGACGATTTTAAAATTGTCGGCCGATTTTCCTGATCTGAGAGACCCCACACACGGAGATAAAAAATCGAGGGTCTAACCACCTTTGGTCGTACAGTGTGGTGCGCAGCCACACGGCAAAATCCCACAAACCACACACATCACACACGAACTGATTTCCCTCCCGAGCATTCCCAGGTCAGACGGAAATCTCACAAAATCTCGAGATCAAGCGTGACTTCAGAGTAAAGAATCATGGAGGACGAAGAGTATGCAGTGGCGATAGTTCGCAGTGTTATCAAAAGAAAAGGCGATGGTAATGGTGTACCATGCCGCTGACTGTTCCGGTGTTTCCTTGCCGCCTCGTCACCTCGTCTTCTGATTGGCTACACACCGCAGTACACTGGCAGCGTGCTTGTCTGACCCAGGAGGACACCACACACAAAGAGAAATCGGGCCAACACAATCCAACATGTTGGATATCCCTGATTTGAGATCGGAGTAGTCCAAAAGTCCTTCTGAGCGACGCAGTCTTAACACACCACACATGGCAGGAAAATCCACAAGATTTTTTTCACAAAAATCAGAGCGTTTTTGAGATTGCGGTTAGGGGTAAATTGGGTCTTAAATCGGCCTAATTATCCTGCCGCGTGAACCAGGCTTTAGCATCCATGTAAGCTACACATCTGCCCCTCTTACAGCGCAAAGTTAACCCTGTTGGAACAAATGCCCATATAAGGAAATTGGCTTATATGGGCATTATTTCTGCACCAGAATTCACTTCAATTGGACCAAGTATGAACTCACCCAGAATGAATCGGAATCAAAAGTTGTTGAAAATGCTTAATAAAACACATCATAAAGACGTCATATTTACCTTTTTCTCCCAAGGATCTCTACTGGAGTAGTCACTGCCGATACAAGACAACAGCTGCTCCTGCATCTCAGCTGGATGGAGCTGTGACAGGCTGCTCAAGTAAAAATCTGTGTAATAAACAAGAACAATATTTACATATAAAATCACTACAATGTAAGCAGCACATTCACAGCATTCTCACCTCTTTCTAGTTTCCGCAGCTCCAGCTCTGGAACAGGGGTCTCTCTGTCCCTTGTTTTCTGAGGGGATTCAATAAGAGGCTCTTTATGGCACAAGTCTAATGGACCAGAATGTGGATTATCGTCTCCAATCCCTCTCTTTGGTTTGTCCAGACTCCACACTTTGTCAGATCCTGGACGCTCCCTCGTGTCTTGAACACTGTCATGTAAAAAGTTGTCTGGAGGTTTGTTGACATTGAACAGCGGCTCAGTGTATGGTCCCTTCACGGAGCTGGTCAGGCCTCCCACTGCAATTAAAAACATCTGTCAATACCTTCTTTCTTTAATCTTTATCTCAGACACATAAAAATGAACATATAGAACATTAAAAACAGATAAACACAGTGTAGACCAACAACATACAAACAAACAATATATATACTATGTTAACATTAGTGAGTTATGTATTGTTCTTTAGGGCAGTAATCGACCAGAGATGTGACGCAATCAAATTCTTTGTTGACTAAACCCCAGTCGACCGGTTAGTCGACTAAAAGGGGGCGTGGAAAAAGTTCTCAAAACAATGTGTCTGATACACACAGATTATTTTGAAAACATCTGTGTGCTACTAATAAGTATTGGTAAACTTGCAATTTAGAGGTTTAATCTTGATCTAATTAATACCAGTAATACCAAATCTTGCTCCTGTCCATAGCCTTTCCCATAATAATCTTTGTAAAATATCAAGTTTAAAAGGAGATTTGACATTTAAAGTGTGTAAAAAGTGTAAAATATCTTGCTTTAACTTGTTTTCACTTGGAATTGGAGATAAAAATACTAATGCTCTTGAAATAACAGTGTAACTATTTGTCACAAGATTGGCTCAAGTCAAGATAAATAGCGCTCAATTCAAGCTTTTATTAACCATAGTAATCAATATATTATGTTATACAAGTACTTTTGTCCAGTTCCACAGGAAAGTTATTGTACATGCACACAAACCTATGCAGACAGAGGGAGAACATAGAAACAGCACTCAAACCCAGGACCTTCTTACAGAGGAGTGAGAGAGCTCAGCACAAGCACAACTAATCATGTTTTTTTAAAGAAACCCTCAAGTGCTTTTTGATAACCTTCTTATTCTCCCAGTAAAAACACATTCATGCATTTGTTACCTTCTTGTAACGCTCTGGCAGTTTTCATTTTGAGGTCAGAGGCAGACGCTCTCTTCCCTGGGTCCTTGTGTAATCCGGCTTTGAACACCTCCACAGTGAGCGCGCTGCAGTCTGGTGGGATTTCTCTCAAAGGCGGTGGTTCATTTGCGATCTGAAAATGGAACAATATCATTCATTATTTTCTAAACTATATGACGATCTCAGCAAAGTGCCGGGGTAAATACAAAGGCACTAGAACGCTCAGAGCTGTCAAGTTGACTGCTTTCAGTTTTGGAAGCGTAATTACTTAGTTTATGTACATTTTGGTCTCTTCATAACTTGTGATTTTTCTGTTCCTATTTGTAGTTCATTTTTTTCATATTTTTTTTAAAACCTGAGTTCTATATTTTCATACAAGGTTCTGGTTCTGGACTGGTCCCTGGTCTTCGTTCTGAGCTTGGTTTTCCATCAGAGAAGCACGTGCTAGTTACCATAGCAATGCATTGTTTACTTACAGCAGTTAGCATTTAGCCTTTCATCAAACTATATTTTCTGTATATTGTTATAATTTATATTAGCCTGTTTTAGAACACACAATGATTAAAGAACCTTATAAATTACAAATGTAAAACTAAACATTCTCTGGGGGCATTTTTCAGAATTCCATTGATATTAACCCTCGCCAAAGTAGCAGCGTCAAGCGCCAAAGCGCCAAAGTAGCAGAATCTATGCTGGACCATCACTGTCGCCCCCTGCAGGACACTCTCTCTGCTCTGAAGAGCAGCTTCGGTGACAGACTAATTCACCCTCGCTGTGTGAAGGAGAGGTTCCGTAGGTCTTTCCTTCCTGCTGCTGTCAGACTGTACAATAAGAACTGCTGAGCCTGTAAATTTCATTCATCTGTAATTAAGTAAATTCTTAAATCATGTGCAATGTGCAATACTGCAACTTCAGAATGTCACTTTACCATATCTACAGTACTTATTATCCTGCACTATATAACTGTACGGTATATAACGCTGCACTACTACTACATATATATATATATATTTAAAAAAAATGTTTGACTGGTATTGAAGCATTTTCAGCATCTACAGCTAGTTATGTTAGCTAAGAAACATAGCTACTACTTATTTTGTATATATTGTGTGCTCCCTGCGTGCTCTTACAACTGTCCTGTATGTGCGCTGCAACATATAGTTTCAATTTCCACAGTGTGGGACGAATAAAGGAATTCTAATCTGAATTGCTCCTAAATCCAGGACAATTTCTATACAGGTACTTGGCTTCCCACAAACATGTCCCTACATTTTTCTTACATATTATCTCCAATGTATTTCTGTTATTGATTTAAGAAGTCTTTAAGTAATCTCTAACCATTTCTCATGTATTTTTTTCTTATGTTTTGTCTATTTCACAATACTTTTCTCAAAAAACGCTGGCGCCAAATGTTAATGGGAGCAGTCAAAATGACGGCTCTGGGAGTTCTCGTAGTGTCTTATTTGTGGGAGTGCTACTGTTAAACTGACCTTGAGGTACAAGCGACAGGTGTAATATCGGGTCCACGGCTGACGGCCATTCAGCATGTGAAGAAACATACAGCAGCTGCTCCACACATCTGCTTTAGCTCCTCTGGCTTCACCTTTCACTATCTCAGGGGCCATGTGCGTTTCTGTACCTTTCAACTCTGTAACACAAACACATATATGTTAATAAGGTCATGGAGCAAATAGAGAGATAACCAATAACAAATGTACCTCTGGATCTGCTGAGGCTGTGTCCTTGCTTATCCAGTCTCTCCGCGTGTCCAAAGTCGCAAAGAAAAGTGTCTCTGCCGTCAGCCGACAGTAAGACGTTATCAGCTGAGGGAAAAACATAAAGCAGAGGTTATTGTTTGTGCACTTGGATTGAATACACACTGCCACAAACTACAATATTCAATCAACTACATTCGGAGCATTAACATTTGTGAGTTTTGCTTATGCTCAATGTTTTGACTTTGACGCTTCCTGTTCATTTTGCAACTCACTGCTGGAACTGACAAGCTGAATTACAGAAGTAAATATAGTTTTAAACAAGTTTCACCTCGATTCTGGAAATGTCTGTAGTTCTTTGTCCTTCTGTGTGACGTTAAAAAGGTCTAAAGTTTCATCTGACCAAACTTGGAGTGACTTTTAAAAGGGCAAAGAACGATAAGAAATAAGTTTTGTTTTATGAATGCAGCTGATTTCAACATGCTAAAACAACACACACTGGGACTCGGAGGAGCACAGGGACTGGCCTCCTGCTGGGACTCGGAGGAGCACAGGGACTGGCCTCCTGCTGGGACTCGGAGGAGCACAAGGACTGGCCTCCTGCTGGGACTCGGAGGAGCACAGGGACTGGCCTCCTGCTGGGACTCGGAGGAGCACAGGGACTGGCCTCCTGGTGGGACTCGGAGGAGCACAGGAACTGGCCTCCTGGTGGGACTCGGAGGAGCACAGGGACTGGCCTCCTGCTGGGACTAGGAGGAGCACAGGGACTGGCCTCCTGATGGAGCCCAGAATCAGGACTAAACATAGAGAGCCAGCAAGACAAATTTATACACAGCTAAAATTGGGAACACTCTCCCTGGAAATGTCTGAGTCCAGGTTGAAAACTTATTTAGCTGAGCATATGACACATTTCTAAGTGTTTTATTTTGTCATATCGTATCATATGCAATTGCACTGTTTATTTTAATTAATCTTATGGACTTTTTGATCCCTGTCTGCCCTCACTCCTCTTGTATTTTTGATTTTTTTTCATTTCAGGACAATAAAAATAAAGACAGACAAACAAATTAAATATTAGCATAACAAAAGCATTAAAGCAAGGACAAAAGGGACAAACAAAGACACCAAAAACAAAACAAAGGATTTTTCACTTTCACACAAAAACTAACATTTTTAATCATTTGAATTTCTTTCCAAATTATAAGGAAGCAAAAATGTTGACAATGCATCTTCCACATAGTGATAGCGCTCAAGATAATTAATTAAGCCTGTAGTATTTAAAGGTCTTTCCTCTGTATTTTTTGACATTTCTTGATATTGAGAACTGTTCTTTGAAAATGAATCTGACAGATACTGAACACCAGGGGGCGCTGCAGCCACAATCCACCTGAACTTTTTGTCTATGCACACTTTTTTATCTTCCTCAGTCGCTCCTCAACTTGTTTTGATCTGGCAGCTATGATCCTCCCCCAGCCGCTCTACTCTCTCCTCTTCCTCCTCCTCCTCTTTCCTCTTCCTCCTCCCTCCTCCTCCTCCTCCCCCCTCCCTCTTGTCTCTCGTCTCTGTCCTTCAGGTCTTGCTTTGCACATGCGCTCTTCGTGTCGCAGTGAGTCACTCCGGGGGAAATTCCCAGCCTGCCTCTTTCACAGCACAAATCTAGTTTCGGAAAGCAGGTGTTACTACGAATCAAACAGTGACCTTATCTGTCAAAGCTTTCTCCGGCTCAAAGTTAAAAAGGCCCGGCAAGTAAAAGTCATTTTGATTCTGCTATCACTATGATCTTTTGACATTAGACTAAACTATGAACGTGCAAAGAATTCTTCATGTGTTAGCCCTTGCATAAGCAGAATGGTGTTATAATTATAATTAATCAAAATGACAGCAGGACATTTTAATTACAGGACATTTTAATCACTTTTCTGGTCTAAATCAAAGGTTACCGGTAAAATATTGTGCAATGTTGCTTGTTTCCGTGGAGATGTTTGTTTTGCCACAAGGAACGTTGAAAGAATCAAGTTTTTTAACAGAGACAAGATGGTGTGTGATAAGCTGAAGGCAAGCTACGAGTCAGATCTACGGAGACACAATCCAGCGCATAGAAAGAATGCAGTTTTTAAAGTTAGTTTTGAGCAGTTTAAAAATCTGTAATGAATTGCAACAGATTGGAAGATTCTGGTAAAAACTGGTCAAATAGTAAAAGTGGTGGCAGTCATTTTAAAGCTGAAGTACCCAACCTTTAAACCTCTGTCATATCTTTAGATCAGCTCAGCTCTCAGCCAAAAGAGTCAAATAGTGACTCACATGGCTTTCAAAAATTACAAATTATTAAAACCTATTCAAAAGATAACATTTCTTCTAATAATATTTTACTTTTACAAAACTCTTTCTGTTTAGACAAAAAGAGGGCCCCAAATTAAAATTAAGATCAAGTTTTAACGGGAAAAAAAATAATAACATTAGATTCACTTCGTGGTGAATCGCACTTTCGTTTTTGGTAGTATAAGGATTAGGATAAATGTTTTTCCCTAAAACACACCTTTCATGTCCAGATGAGCAACTCTTTTCTTCACTAAGTATTCGAGGGCAGTGAACACTTGACACTGGTAATGCAGGCTCAGGTCCTCAGGAAGCCGCCCCCGCTCTGAGATCAGCTGCCCCAACGAGCCTGGAATGGAATTGAAGAAAATGGATGGATGGATGGACCATAGGAGTTTAGAAAATCCAAAATGTCAAAGAGATGAAGACACGACCGATTCTCACTAGCAATCTGGTTACTACTGTATTTTCAACAACCAAATTAAACATCCATAAACAAAATCAAATGACCATATATGAATGTAAGTCGTGTGGTGATTACTCTGCAGATTAGGGATAGCCCCGAACACATATTCAAACTTTTACCAGAAATATTAGAGAATTTTACTTCTGGTATAATCAAACACACTTCATGTTTTGACTCATCAATTCTCTGATATATTCTCTGTCTAGTATACATATGGGTAAACACAGAAAGGAAAAGAAGAATGACTAGAAAGCAGAACACTCCCATGTAGTAGAAGTGAAATTCTGCTAAATTCAGATCTATATTGAACATACTTACAATAAAAATGATTCTGATTCTGAACATGGTACAGTCAAATTCAAGGCAGCCAAGAGTAAATACATTCTCAAAACAGACATAGAGGCCATCATTTTGTTTTAAATGGCAGAAAATATCTTTGCCCATAACATTATAGACTCAGGATTCATCATGATGCAACAAGTTTGGGCAGATTAGGTGCATTTGGACAGAAATTAGCATTAAATGAGATCTATACAATGTCGCTATATGCGTCTTTTACCCACAAGTCACCTTTTTAAATCAGTTTTATTGCGTTTTATGCCTTCACCTGCTTTATGGTCCATGAAAAGCACGACATTAGGCCCTTCTCTGACGACTCCGAACAGCTCCACCACACGAGAGGATCTGAGGGCACTCCACGCACCCACCTCCTCACTGTTGAACCTCTTCAGAGCGATCTACGGATAATACGCATGTTACGAGTCAAATGCAAATGTCCAGGGAAGACTCAACATTAGTTATTCAGTGGTGGGATATGTTTTTTTTTTTTTTTTTACCTTTTTGGCAGCGAAAGTGAAGCCTGTGTTCACATCCCGAGCCTTATGCACCTCCCCATAGGAGCCTTCTTTGATGAAGTCTGTGAAGATGTACTCCCTGCCCTCCCTGTATTCAGAGTCGACGGGGTGGATTGTCTACAAGATCCGGGATACAAACATGTTATGGTTAGTTTGGTTATACATTGGGGCGACAGTAGCTCAGTTGGTAGAGCATTGGCCTTCAGGCCTGAAGGTTGTGGGTTCAATTCCCACCTCTACACCTTCTCCACCGACTCCCACTGATGACTGCTGTCGTTGTGTCCTTGGGCAAGAAACTTAACCCCACTTTGCCCAAAGCCCCCACTGAAAGATGAAGGCTATGCTCACACTCAGAGAGCAGCCGTCCTCCTGTGGACTCACCACCTGCAGAGGGTCAGTGAGGGGCTGGTGCTATGAGACTTGGGTGGCATCTGTGATTGCCACCCCCCTGACCCAGAAATGGATTAAAGGGTAGAAAATGGATGGATGGATGGATGGTTATACATTAGTTGGTAAATAAATAAATAAATAGCCGTACGTAGCAATGAGGTTTAGCATTAGCATTGCAGTCCACACATGGCTCTTTTTTTCTTAAATCATTCCAATAGAGTAAATTTATGATTATGTTCATTAGAGAAAGTGGACCTATTTTTAGAATGTATTTTTGTATATTCCCTGATGAAGACCACTGTTTAGTTGAAATGCCTTTGCTTCCTAGTGAAATAAAACCAATTTAATATACCAGTTGCAGTGCAGGTCTGCCTTCACCAGTGTTGGGCACGTTACTTTGAAAAAGTAATTAGTTATAGTTACTAGTTACTTCTCCCAAAAAGTAAGAGTTACTAACGGAGTTACTCCACTATAAAAGTAACTAGTTACCAGTAAAAGTAACTATTGCGTTACTTTTTCGTTTTGTTCTAGAACATAATGTGCACTCGACGTGCGCATTTTTACCTTTAACCTCAGTGAGTCTGAAATAGTGCCAATATTTCCATCTAGAAAAGGCTGTTTTGCTGCTGAAGTCCTGTTCACTCTTCATCTCTCTCTCTGCTGTAAGCACTAAACACCAACACCCGCCACTGTGAATGTGGAAACACCGGTGAAGCACTGACTTCAGCCCAATCAGATGAACATATATATCATAAAAATCAACTGGACCTAGAGAGCGGCTTATTTGTTTGGCTACAGCAGAATACGTTTCATGCCCGCATTGTTTGTTCATACAAAACGCAAAACTAAGAGTTATGGGTCTTACCTTATAAATGACCTGCACAGACCACTTCGCTTCAGACCAGTTTCATGTTTAAGTCCAGATAATAGTTTGAGCGTAGATATGTAATCCTCCATTTGGAAATGAGTCCAATGAGTTTTAAAAAGCAAAACAAAACGCGTGTGTCCTCCATAAACTCCTGTGTTTTGCTAGCTGCAGCCGGGTGCATCCGATTTCTAAAATCAACCGTCTTACACTTCACCTCTCTTTCTTATCATTCCTATAGTAATTGAAAAATTACCCTAAGTGCATTTTAAATTATCTTAAATATGTTATATGTATGTTAGCCAAACCTGTTGCTGTCCTTAGCAGATAAACCAGGAAGAGAAAGGAGCTTATCGATGGAATTGTATGCAGCCGACTTCTGCGCTCACATGCGCTACTCTGAGGCCTCAAGGTGATACAAGCCGCGGTAGAGTGTGATTAAGACCCATATTTGTTTCAAAAACACAATTTATGAGCAATCCTCTCAACTGTAGACATGTAGATTGTAAAGGAAATATGTTTTACATCAGCCAATAACATCTGAGAGGTTTTCTCATCCTCCCTTCTCTCATGACAACACGCACACGAGTCCTATCACGAAGTAAAAAGAGAAGTTCACTGTGCGTCTTGAGTAACGCGCAGTAACGGGATGTCGGAAATGCTAACGGCGTTATAGTTACAGTCAAAGTAATTAGTTAGATTACTCGTTACTGAAAAAAGTAACGCCGTTATTCCCATCACTGGCCTTCACACTGTCAGTAAAGGTAAACTCTGTGTACTTTGATATGTATTTGTATTTTTGGTCTCATGTGCAGCCATTTATTTTCTACACAATCAACAAGACATTTTGCTTTTGTCTAAGCTGGGGACTGAAGTGAGTCTGTTAGACGTTAGGTCAATTGACTGTTCTATGGGCTAATACATTTCTTTAGTTCAAACACCTTCAGACTACACACAATTGTATGCTTTGTTGTTCAAATATGTTTAAGGAGGACAGCAATACTCCCTGCCATCCTACAAGTCAAGACAAGTTGATGTTCAGGCCTAATGAAGGGTAAAGTTACAATAACAGTAGGCTATACAAGTACATCTACTTCAGTTTAAAGCCGTACGTATCCAGGATCTCATGTTAAATTAATTCTGTATTGTCGAAATCCTGCATACGTACGGCTTCGTTTGTAATGTTACGTCATGTGTTTACTCACCTCTTTGTAAAATATCAACCCCTCATTTGTGTCTGAATAAAACGTCGACAACTCTTCCTCTTGCTCTTGTACGTCCTTCTCCAAATCTTTGAAGAAGGGTCCGGCGAAGCATGGGTCTCCTTGGCTGACGCTGCCCCGGAGTCCTGCCAAAGCCAAAGAACAGTCTCCGACGCTGCTGGAGGAGTCCGAGTCGCTCTCTTGTCCGTAGGAGCCCAGGAAGCCACAGGCCGGGACGGGGGCGGTCCAGGGAACGGCTGAGCTTATGTTATACACTGGTTTACTGTAAAATGTCTGCGCACTCTGTACTTCGGAGCACTCCACGCTGCTGCAACAGGAGCTGCTGAGGTCACTGCTGCAACCAGAGAAAGACTCTTCCTACAAGGAGAAATGCAGATCAGGGAAAGTTTAGATCGCTAGAATGTCAAATAATCAATATTTTATACCACGCTAGGGCTGCAAGACTCATAATAGCAAAGACTGCAATAACAAAAAGCCTTTTCTGTCTAAAACCAACTCATACTGGTTTAAACTAGTCATAATAATACAATGTTGGCATATTGTTCAAAAAACGGCAGGATGGAAAAAAATGTTATGGGCTCTATGTTAATCATCTGAACATTTTTTTTGCAATGACAGAGCGAGAGCTGCTGCAGATGGTTGAAACATACAATTTTAGGGATAAACATGGCACATTTCTATCAAAAGTATAGATGCCAAAACCGGAAAACCAACAATAAATGTCCCTTTTTCCCTACAGTTTCCGGTTTAGATGTTTCTTCTTTTTCTCACAACTTGGTTCATAGGCAGAGATATGTTATTTTGCTTATTGATGTTATTGATCATTGATGTGTTTAAAATGCACTCTACAAAATATTCATCACAAAAATCCTAATAAGTCATCTTTCCAAAGGCTTCAGCCCTGCTCCATGAAGTGTATTTTCTACCTGAGTCCAGCGCAGGGAGCTCCCACTCTCTTGCTCGGGGACTCCTGACGGCACTCTTTGGCGATGGCGCTCTTCTGTCTTCTTCTCGTTTTTCTTTTTGCTTTTGCGTCTTTGCTTCTTGCGCGCTTTCTTTCTCGCAGCGTTGTGTGCTGAAGGCCCGCTCAGCTCCTGGATGGACGCAGGGGCCGGGGAGGCGACGTTGTTCGGCTCAGAGGAATGCCTGAATTCATAATAGGAGAAAGAATATGTGTTTATTGACTGCACCACGGGTTAAATGTTAGCAAGAGAAAAATGTCTATTACCGGATTGTGAAGCAGTTTGGAGATGGCACATAGCATTCGGAGTAAGATGGACTGAATTCTTGAGAGTCCTGGGTTTCACCTGAAGACATGAAATTAGGTTGTGATCTAACGCAATGGTTCTTAACTAGAACAGTGTCGATACTGAACACAAAAGATTGAATCCAGTATGTAAGTAGTATAAACAATTACTTCTGAAAAGATACAGTATTTTGAAAGCACTGTAACTTTTCAGAAGCTATGGTTTTATAAGCTTTGAAAAACACTACAAATTAATAAAAAAATAAATCTCTGGAACAAAGGAAACATAGTCAATTTGGTGTTTAGTTTCCCATTAAGTAACTGATTTCAATAAATGTGACCAATGAGGACAATTTTACATTAAACATCATATAAATTAAGTTTGATCTATTTTTCAGTGGAATTAGTGGATGCTTTGGGTTTATCAAAGGCAATTTTTTTTTGTTTGTTACTTTTCTAAAAAAAAATTGTCCAAGAGTCGTTCCCAAAGTGGGGGGCAATTTCCTGAATACTTTTGTTACAAACATTATTTTTTGTGACAATAAACTGAAAACATTAAAACAGAGGTGTCTGTGTATATATGTGTATACATGTTATGATGCTTCAAATTATCACAACATTAAATTGTATATTGTAAATGTAATTATCTGGGTTTTGTCGTTTCATTTTGTGCCTATTTTGGGTTCCAGTCTGAAAAGTAGAAGATAAAAAGAAGATAAAAGCCTGGCTGCCCACAGAGAATGATCCCACAACCCACTATTGCTTCCTACCAACGTATTTTGAAAAGAACTTTTGAGTTCTAAATAAACTTTCATTTCTGTATCAAACCAGTACAAACAACATCAAATCTCACATTCAGCCTGAGCGATGAAGCTGGAGGTCTTCAGGGGCCCCTCTCCTATCTGCTCCGCTGTCCCGTACGTCCACAGCTTTTGGAGTAAAGGGGTGAACTGGGTGAGGTTCCTCTTGTCGATATTTGCGTCTTCGTCCTCGTCCTCCGTGTCCTGCTCCGAGGCTGTGACCGGGAACGACCCCTTCAGCTCGACCTGGGACGTCCCGGAGAAGGGGGACGTGGAGTTGAAAATCCTCTGCCTCACCGCCATTTCATCTAGTGGACCTGAGACACAAATAAATCTGTTATTAAAAAAGTATGTTTATATTAGTCTATTAGCTGGGCAATTATTCTTTGGATTAATAATAATAATAATAATAAATTGGCTTTATATAGTGCTTTTCAAAAACTCAAAAACGCTTCACAATTCAGGACACACACACACACGTTTAGACAGACACACAAAACTAAAAGATCTGAGTATAAAGTTGAAACTAAGAGTTGTATGCTTGGAGGAAAAGGTGAGTTTTTAGCTGTTTTTTGAAGGAGTTTAGTCTGAGTGTTGTTTCAATCTGTTGAATATATGATTTTCTTCATCAATTTGGCCAAAACAAACTTAAAGCAGAGCCCCTCGAGAAAATCTTCATGGAGATCCGGGGTGTCAAACTAGTCCTCAAAAAGGTGAAGTTGCAGATTTTCATACCAACCAAGCAGGAGCACACCAGACTCCACCCATTTCCTCAGATGAGTCCAGTCTGAACCTGAAGGCTTGAGGAAATGGGTGGAGTCTGGTGTGATCCTGCTTGGTTGGAATGAAAACCAGCAGCCACATTGGCCCTCTCTGTAAAAATATATAACCCAGAGAGACATTTTCTTCAATCTTGAGCCCATGCCATGTAAAACTGTAAGTGCTGTACATTGTTCCTCTTCTACGGAGTGAGAAATATGCAGCTCTGCAGTGTTGTGTCATCAAACCTGATAAAATTGGTTGATAAGGAAGTTGAAGAGCTGTGCAGAAAGAATATGGCTTTGTGATTATAACACAATTGAGCTTTGTGGAATTATTCATATTGGCCATTAACAATAACGAGACTGTTTACTTAGTATTTCACGTTCTAAAACAGGAAATGACAATCTTGTGTAGCAAATACAGTATATGATGGAAGTTTTGCATTACTCATATTGGAAATTTACCAGCTAAAAACCTAAAGCTAATCTTATTTACACTTATAAATAGCCGAAAACGAATGTATGAGCATGACTTGTCATAGCGGTACATTGATGTAACTGTCAAACGCTCAAATAAGTTGATTTTGTGTTATATGTTATTAAGCCTACAGCATATAAATAATCCTTGGCAGAAAATATATTATATCTAATAATGGAGCAATGCATTTTATTATGTGTTTTAGCATGTGGAAAATGGGCACACACATACAATACTAGCAAAGGTGGGAAAATCAACTTTGTATTATAATTAGTACAAGAATTTCCTTTTTTTTTGTCGTCTTTTGACAAGAACTAAAGCAGTAAAATCCCAGTGTAATGTGAACAGAAAAAACAGGGGAATTAACTCCAAAACAATCACACCCCACTGTATGCACCACGCCTATAGTTTCACCTAAATACTTACAAAACACAACTTTTTAATCCTTCCATTTGGTAATAATTATCTCATTCAAGTGTGAGGCCGTTAAAACCTGGCTTTATGCGAAACTTCTGAAGACAGGAAACTCGACCACGGCCTTGTTTTGACAGTTGCAAACACACTCGACTGCCTCTTTTCTCTGGCAGGTGATAAAACGCACTCGGTTCAGCCTTTACAGTCGGTTGCATCAGTTTTTGACATTTGACCACTTCCCGACGGCTTTGCACGCGCCGTTCACGACATACAATAGTCTGATAGTTATGGATGACACGGCGACATCGTAACAGCTACAAATTACAACTCACATGACAAAACCAAAGTCCTATTTCTTGGCAGTGCATTCACAAGAAAACACATTAACTAGAAAATACTGAGTGCGCTGTGGACTGTTTTTCATGATTTATAATGGGTTAAAGATGGCACGCAATATACAATAAACTTATTATGCACAAAACACACTTTTTCCATGAGGGATACTATTAGCCAAATTGTAGATAGATGATTAAATAAACTATTCACAGCTTCTTGTAAGTGACCACAAGTTTTCTGAACTTTCTGAATGATAACGTGATCTTTGAAATACCAGATAAGATCATTATACTAATCATAATCATTTGTTTTTTTGGATGAACTTTCAAGATATAATCATACATCATATGAAAATACATTTAAAATAACATGATTAAGACAATATGAAGAGATATGTTGATGATTGGCTGATTGTGATTTGACAAACTGTCCAGAGTCTGTTGCTATACTGTTATTGTTCAAGCAGACACACACACACACAGAGAGTCAGACAGATAGACAAACTGACAGACACACACACAGTCACGCACACACAGACAGAGAGACAGAGAGAGACAGACAGACACACACACACAGTCGCACAAACAGAGAGACAGAGACAGACAGACACACACACACGAACGAACGCACAGACACAGACAGAGAGACAGACAGACAAACACACACACACACGAACAAACGCACAGACACAGACAGACAAACACACAGACATAGACAGAGAGACAGAGACAGACAGACAAACACACACACACACACGAACGAACGCACAGACACAGACAGAGAGACAGAGACAGACAAACACACACACACACACGAACGAACGCACAGACACAGACAGAGAGACAGAGACAGACAAACACACACACGAACGAACGCACAGACACAGACAGAGAGACAGAGACAGACAAACACACACACACACACACGAACGAACGCACAGACACAGACAGACAAACACACAGACATAGACAGAGAGACAGAGACAGACAGACACACACACACACCCCCACACACAGTCGCACAAACAGAGAGACAGAGAGACAGACAGACACACACACACGAACGAACGCACAGACAGAGAGACAGACAGACAAACACACACACACACACGAACGAACGCACAGACACAGACAGAGAGACAGAGACAGACAGACAAACACACAGACATAGACAGAGAGACAGAGACAGACAGACAAACACACACAAACGAACGAACGCACAGACACAGACAGAGAGACAGAGACAGACAGACAAACACACAGACATAGACAGAGAGACAGAGACAGACAGACAAACACACACAAACGAACGAACGCACAGACACAGACAGACAAACACACAGACATAGACAGAGAGACAGAGACAGACAGACAAACACACACACAGTCGCGCACACACAGACACACAGACAGACAGAGAGAGCCAGACACACACGCACGAACACACAGACAGACACAGACACAGAAACACACACAGGATCTCAGTGCTCCCAAGTATATAGTTAATTACACATATAATTTAAACAACATTTGAATGCAAAATTTTACTGCTTAAAATGTTCTTTCCGACAGAGACACACACACACACACACACACTATCTCATACCCCTTTAAATGCTCTTTCAGACAAACGGACACATTATGCCATTACAGCGCTGCACAGTGAAAGCGAACACCGTCCCATAACACATTCTGCACTAAACCCCACACATTGCAATCATTACATTCTTGCAGTCTTAGCTCTATAGGTTTTGTAGCTCACCATACAGCGTGTATAGTAGAAGTCGCTTATTCATTTCCATCCAGCATTGTTAAAACTACACTGGCAAAACAGAGGTGTTGTGGGTTTTTTTCTCGACCTGAATCTGAGCAGTAAAACTTCCTGGCTCGGTGTCTGATGCTGGAACGGAGCCAATCAGGGAGGAGCTGCTGACGATGACTTATGGGAAATGCAACTCCACTCCCCCTTCACCATCCACCCTCCTTCTCATGCAAATAAACGCAGCATTCAGGGTGATCTTGGAATACATAGGTAAATACATGCAGACGAGAGATACACATTTACACCGCAAAGCCAGAAATAAGGCTTGTTATGCAATTTTTAAAAAGGCATTATAGTAAACTATCAGCATGAACCTCTGATGGCATTAATGATAGAACTTGTTTATTTGCGGGACGACCAACCGCCCACTCAGGATCTTTTGGTCACATTTTTAACTTACATTTATTGTTGCATAGGCATAGATTGCATGACAAAGTGGATTCCTCAAAAACAGATCAGAAAATGCAGCTTCCTCCCCACCTCAAACTTCTGATTGGGGCACGGTCTGTTTCAGCTGAAGCAGATTATGATCTTATTCATGTATTTTGTACTGTATTTCTGCCCTTTTTATTGTACTGTTCTGTGTTTTTCTGTCTTTCAGGGATCCCCACAGGTACTCTGTCTGCAAATGAAGTTCATCACGAATAAATAAAGTTATTTGAACTTGAATTGAATTGAGAGTCTTACAGTTCGAACACAGGAAATACAATAATAACACACAATTGGTTCATTGGGAATGGGATGATCATTGTCCATAAATGTTAATAAATGTCCTTAAACTACCTGAACTATAAGTGTACCGTGTCAAAAAATAACAACATTGTATGTAATAATATGCAATACCATTAGGACTGTTTTTGTCATTGATTATAGAGTGCATATTTGTTCCGTAGCGATAATCAATTAGTTGTTAAGTACAATTAAATATGTTATGTTTAATCAAATTGACCCAGACAAGGTATACTGTTCTTCAAATAGACAGTATAGAATTTTGGAAGAAGCCCTTTTATGTCGTTAGTGTGATAAAAATCAGCAACTCGTACACAATATATATACGTCATATTTGTGGCATTTCTGGTCACAATAATAATCAAACTGTCAAATTTCCCATTCCAAAGCTGCATATAGTTTGGTGAGTAATGTAATGTATGTTGCTTGTATCAACGGACACAAAATTAGCAAAGCTCTCTCGGGTTCGTCTTAGACCCAGAAAAGTCAGACGTCCTTTACCTTGTGGCAATACCGAGGACCTTTTTAAAATATGGTTCTTAACTTGAAACACCTATGGAAATAAAATTACAATTCAATTTTCCGCATAGGATTTTCAGAAAAATAAATATACCGGTATTATATAGGGTAAATACAATCCTATGGTACTTTTACTTCCAAAAATTGTGAAGTGGGTGGGTCAGAATCAGAATCAGAACCATTTTTTTTGCCATGTAAGTAACAGGAATTCACAGACTAGGAAATTGCTTTGGCAGTGGTGGTTCTTTGTATGGAAAAAAATGGAAAAGCGGAAGAAATAGGATTGATGGAAAGAATTATATCTCCTGTGGACTCAGCACCTGCAGGAAGATCAGTGAGGGGCCGGAGCTCTGTGACCCAGAAATCGATAAAGGGGAAGAAAATGGATGGATAGAATTATAAATCAGAAAAGGATCAAAACGCAGGAATTCATAAAAAGAACATGACTTTAGGGCACATCAAATGCTGTTCAGTGATGGGCTGACGTTCATTGCTGTATTTTGAATCAATTGACCTTATGGATGGATTCTAACCTTTGGCACAACCTTTACATTATCTTTGTAGTAGGGTTAATGACCTTTCTGAGCTCATTTAAGGCCTGTGGTTCACAACAACTGCAGTAAATACACCATCAAATCCACTCCTAAGCACAGTTTAAAAATACCATGAATACTGTCACTAAAATATGTAGCCCGACTTTGATTCTCACATCAGAAGCAGTAAGATGAGGCAAATAAGTAAGTATATCAACTTTAAAGTAAATGTATTCCTAATTATACGTCACCAAGTCAATACAAAACATAGAAGCTAATATATTGAGTCCTACTAGCTTCAGGGTCTGCTTTGATTTGGAAATGAAATTGTTAGTTTTAGTTTTAGTTTAGTTAGTTTATTTTTTCTTCGGCCAATATGTACACCTGACCTCGGGTCACACGGATACAGAGATCACATTTACTTTTTACAACAAGAAAATTTAAAAAAATGAAAAAAAGAACCAAAATATGTCCATAAAGGACATTGTGCGAAACAACACCTGAATGAATTCACATTCATTTTCCCCAGTTTCAAAAAAGCCAAACACCAATAGCTATGTGGCAACTAAGTATCCACAGGGAGGTGTTTTATTTTGTTCTTCTCGTGCCATTAAAACTTAAAAACTCAGCAAAACATATTGAGGGACAAGCACCTTTCACCTCAATTGATCATTCTATGTGACATTATGACACAAAAACAGAAGCAATTGGCAACAGTTGCTTCAGACTTTTATCATTACGTAAACTCAATTAAATGTATTTCTGAATCACAACAACAGTCGTCTGGGAGGACTTTACAAAGTTGTCGATTTGCCAACAACAGATCAGAGAACAGTTCCAACACAGGAAGTGCAAAAGCAAAAAACATATAGGAGCCATTGGTCTATATGGGAAATGGGATGATCAATGTCCATAAAAGTCACTAAATGTCTGCATTCATGGATTTTTGTTTTTTCAAAGCACTCACAAATAGATACAGCTGGTGGCTAAAAGTGACTAAATGCCTATAGTAGAAGTAACTTTTCTGTGTGTATGGTTACTTGTCGACATATGTAAACAAAACAAAGCAGCATTCAGTTGGGGCTACAGTATATTGAGTGGACTCTGGCCGTACACCCACACAGATTAATGAAATTCCAAAGCCTTTAGTAAGGGCTGCACACGCGGGAACCTGCAGACGTCCACATCAGAGACACTCAAAAGAACAGCACAACAATATTACAGCCCCCTTAAGTCACCTTTGTTTCAATATGGCATTCTGGCAACAATGGACAGCAGATAACTTTGCTTAATGTACGTTTTTGTTGGACGTTTGGGTCTGCAAAAAACTGTACACTGCAAAAAGTGCTAAAATAATATTGGTTATAAATGCTTGAATCCAGTGTTGTTTTTTTTATCTCAATTTGAGTTCATTCCGACTGCCTTAAAACAATTTGCAAATGGGACTTCTTTTTGTCTTTTTTCCAAGAACTGTTGCTTTATTTTCTCTTTCCAAGGGAGACATTTCTTGTATCTTTTTAAAACAAGATCATTTCTGCTTGTCCCATTGGCAAGTCTTGTTTTAAAGCAGTCAGAATCTGACCAAATTTGAGCAGTTTTACCTATTTTTCATCACTTTTTGCATCTTATCTTCTTGCACAGAATCTACCTTTTGTAGTTTCAATGATTATACATTGGGAAAAAGCATTGTCCTTATTTGATTTTTCTATCTAAACTAAGCTAAAGCTAACTCAGGTGTCCCAGCTTTAACACCATTTGGCTTATGAGAGAAAATGGCATTCAACTAGGAGAAGTCTATCTGTGGGAAACACTGCTTTCAGTGTAATTCTTCTCCAAACACTGTTGTGTCTGTTTGTAATACAGAGAAAGGTATTTCTTTGTGCAAAGTAGAACGGGACATTGGGACTGACAGAGCAGCTAGTTTCTTATTTAAATATGGACTGACGCCAGGAGTAAAGTGAACGCAGGCCCAGACCTTGACTTGAGGCCAACGGGGTCCACTCTGCTTTCATGCAGCACAAAGACAATAGTAATGAGTAATTATCAGTTAATAAAGATTTTAAGAACAACAACTAGAGTATAACAATGCAATAAAAACATTCCAAACAACACGCAGCATTGTTTGTTCTCATTCTTCACCGCAATTCCAATCGCTTAAAGCTGGGGTACCTAACTTTTTTGTTCAATAATATTTGTTCTTTGTCTCAGTAGAAAGAGTCTTGTAAAAGTACAATCCGGTCACAACTTGAGGTCTACATCTTAAAAGACATTAACCATGTTATAATTGAGCCAAACCCGGTGAGTTACTATTTGACGCTTTGAGTTGAGAGCTGATGCAAGGGTGGTCCTCTCTTTTTCCACTTTTTTACCTGAAAAAGCTGATCTAAAGATGTGACCGAGACCAAAATGCGGAAACTAGTGTTGGAACCAAACAAACTAGTTGAATTTGATTGTGGCTTGAAAATTAGGTACCTCAGCTTTAAATACCAATATAAAGTAAGGTCACGCGTAATAACTGACTTACAACGCATTCCAGAGATATAGAGTAAATATCATATCACGTTAAAAAGCCTACTATAGTCCTATAGTTGGAAATAAATAATTCATGAAAAAAGGGTAACTTAAATATGTGCATCTAGGGCTACTTTTATGTTGAAACTATAACTAGATATTTAAGTCAAACGCATCTGTTTTCAGGTGTCATATCTCTCTGGTGTGGAAGTAATATACGTAAAAGTGACTGTGATGTGTTTACAATTGCTTTGGGAGCGCTTGCAGTCACTTCCTTGTCTTATACATGCATCGCCATTTCTTCTCCAACTAAAAAAACCTTGTCGTCTTTGCCAATCTTTGTCAACACGCAATCACAAAAGCGCAAAAGTCCCCAAACATGGCATTAAGCACAGACACACGGGCTGGTGAACCATTGAGCCAAAAGGAGATTAGTATTACAGAAAGAAATACAAGTTTCTCACCCTGTAGCGAGCTCCCAACGAGAAGACGTCGGCTGGAGGCACATCTGTCAAAGTCAAAGCAGCGCCTGTAACACTGTAACACCGCTGCATCCGCCAGAATAAAGTTAGACAGGAAGCTGCGCTGTTGAAGACAATAATAGATGGCAAGGCAAGGCAAGGCAAGGCAAGGCAAGTGTATTTGTATAGCACAATTCATACACAAGGCAACTCAAAGTGCTGAACAAGATAGCATTAAAATCATAAATAATCACAGAACATTAAAACGAAAGATAAAAATATAAAATCCTTCAGTTGTATGCACAGCTAAACAGCACCGTTTTTAACCTGGTTTTAAACATTGTCAGAGAGGAGGCCTGTCTCACATCTTCAGGAAGATTGTTCCAGATTTTAGCAGCATGAATCTGAAAAGCAGCCTCCCCATGTTTAGTTCTGACTCTGGGCACTAACAGGAGTCCAGTCCCTGTGCTCCTCAGAGTCCGGACTGGTTCATATGGGACTAACATGTCACTAATATATTTTGGTGCGAGGCCATGGAGAGACTTGTACACAAGCAGAGCTGTTTTAAAGTCTATTCTATGAGCCACAGGAAGCCAGTGCAGAGACCTGAGGACTGGACTAATGTGGTCGTACTTCCTGGTTCTAGTCAGGACTCGAGCTGCTGCATTTTGAATGTACTGCAGCTGTTTTACAGCCTGTTTGGACAGACCTGTGAGCAGGCCATTGCAGTAGTCTAACCTACTGGAGACAAATGCATGGATAAGAATCTCCAAGTCTGCTTTAGACACTATGTTTTTGATCCTGGCAATGTTTTTTAGATGGTAAAAAGCTGCTGATGTTACTGATTTGATGTGGCTATTAAAATTTAAGTCTGAGTCCAGTATTACCCCTAGATTTCTGACCTTGTTTGAAGGTTTTAGGGAGAGAGACTTTAGATGACAGATGACACTCTCTCTTTGTTTCTGGGGACCAAAGACAATCATTTCAGTTTTGTCTGCGTTTAGCTGAAGGAAGTTGTTTTGCATCCACTCACTGATCTGTTGGATACAGTGAAGGAGTGAGTCCACTGGTCCATGTTCTCCTGCAGTCAGTGAGACATAGATCTGAGTGTCGTCTGCATAGTTGTGATAGGACACTTTGTTTCTGCGTATTAACTGACCTAACGGCAGCATGTAGAGATTGAACAGAAGAGGTCCCAGGATCGACCCCTGTGGTACTCCACAGTCCCACAGGGGTCTAATAGATCAATCAGCCAATCAATTCTATTATCAACTTGTGGTGGTATAGTATTCATTTTCTGAGATTACTGACACTGGATACATCTAAAAGCGAAAGTATGTAACAGTCCATGATTTAATGGAAAGTCAGGACGGATATGAATGATATTAAGTGGATTTAAAGCATGGATAGTGTCGTTGTCCCGATTCTATCAAACTTTAAAATTCCATTATGATTTTTTTTTAAATAGTTGAAACCCGATACCAACTTCAATGCCACAGTGGTTATTTATAAATGATCCTCAGTCGATTACTTTTCAACTTAAAATATGTTTTGGCTGACAATTGGTTAATATGATATTGTGCAAAATGTATCAAGAAATGTCACATTTTATCCCGTTATTTTCAGCATCAACAGTCGATGCAGTTGACTCGATTGATACAGTTATTATATCTAGTATCATTACTAGATTTATTACTCGATACCCTAAGATAGGCATTAAGGTTATACTCATTCAGAAAAGCAGTATCAGGAACCATTAATACCACAACTTTTAGGTACACAAACGTTTAGGCATGACACATTACGTAGAATTACCACAAGATGGAGCCATACGCCACAAAGAATCGATCGATGGAATTGATCTACCAAAATAATAACAAATTAGTGATAGGCAAAACACAGTATCAAATAGGAAGAGCGCTTTAAAAAAATAAGAAATGTTACTATTTTGTGTCCGAGTTTGTGGTGACACAACTGGGTGATTAACACATGTCAGTAATTACACTTGTATTATGTCAACATAATGTATATTATTATTAATTAATGCAATGCAGTACGTCGCGTGTAGACTTTCACTTTACTCTTGTTTAGTTATTTTTTTAAGACAGCGCTGTCTTTTTGTGATAGAGGTTGTGTCCAGCAGTCTCCAGGGGGAAGGTGGATCTCTGGCAGCAGCTGAGTGTGCAGCTCAGAGCGGCTTCTGTCAGAGGAACAGACGGAGGGAGCGGAGAAGCTGCTGCTGCTGCTGATGCGCTCAGAAAATGGCCGACAAATTTTCTAGATTCAACGAACAACGTGATTTCCAGGTAATAACAACTCTCAGATATACGTGCTGTCGTTTTATCTGATCAGTGTTACCCGTAAGATGCAAAAGGCTTTTTACTTGGTTGTTTTTGTCTCCCGCATCGCGCAGTTCTGCCTGTGTGCTGCGTGCTACTGCTGCAAGCTAACTGTGCTAATGCTAACTGTGCTAATGCTAACTGTGCTAATGCTAACTGTGCTAATGCTAACGAACACGGCTAGTTCACTGCGGCTCTGAATCTATGCTGCTATGTTTTGATCTTACAAGAGTTGAGGCAAACGGCCATAAACAGACACATGACAAACTTGCACACAATAGGTCACACTAAAACAATGTCATATTTTCGACAAATAATAGTGACCTTGGTTATTTATCGACTTGCGCTAATGTAGGATGCTAGCTCTCCGTACGCACCACACACTGAAGCGATCTGGTACGACAACAATGAAGGATCAGCTGGAGTCCTGCGATTTAAAGTCCTTTGTGGTGTTGATTTTGTGAATACATGAAGAATAGTTTTGTTATGCACTAAACTGAACGATAATACAGCTATTCTGGGTCATTGGCAAACATGCAACATAAGTAAACGCAAATGTCAGACAATACTGTACTGTTAAGCTATTTTAATACAGGTATTTTCAAGACAGTAATTAAATAAAAAAATCTAAGGAGATTGCCCATCACCACTGCAGGGATTGCCGAATTAATTTGTCTGTGGTGTTTAATTTCTAATCTCAGCCACACCCATTATATTTTCCAACTCTTGCAATCTCTAAGAAAAATGTTATCTGTGGGTTCTTTTATTTTTAACTAAAAAATGTGTCAAACTCTTTGAAGATGTCAAGCAGCTAATCCATCCATAGTGTGTTGGCATTTTAAAAGTTGGCAGACCGGTTTAAATACTTGCAATGTTGTTGTAACCTATTTTACATTGTGTTGCTAATTATTATTTATTACTATTACATGTAGGATGATCAGTACCTCACATTCTCTAACCAGATGAATGTGTATTATTTAAAGTGACATTAATTTTTATTGACTTGAATGTTTGCCTTAACTCCTCTTTACTATCCATGTATAATAGATTACAACACAATCCCCCAATTTTAAGCATGAAAGACGTCTCAAATTGGCTTAATCTCAAAAGTGATTTCATGAAAAGCCATTGTCTGACTTGTGGCGAGTATTAATATGCCTAAGCCTCCATCCTGACTGCACCCCGCAACTGTTGACCTTACACCCACAGAGTAAACAGTTCATTGGCCGTGTCCTCTGTGACTTTGCCAACACACATTTGGGCCCCATAAGGCTTTGTGCTGCAAAATGTCAGCTGTCTCAAGTCCTGGTGTTCTGCTGCATATCATTAGACACCATCATATCAGCCCTGCACTTCTGTTGTGGCTCCATTTCAAAGTATTGTTTTCTTTCTCTTAGTACCAGTAACGCGCAAAATGTGCAAAAACCGATATGATTCAGTGTCGAGAAAGCAATTGCATCAAATCCCAACAGAACATTTTACAGGTAGAGACGCAATTCACAAGTCTTCTGGAAAGTAAGTTTGACAAATTATTATGTTTAGTTATCTTCAAGCATGTTGGAGCAAGCCATTTTTTGGCTCAGATTCAACAGTCAGGCTATATGAATTAAGCTAGCCAGAAAACTAGTCAATGGTCTTGTTCATATTAAGTGAACTGATTTAGATGAACCAGAGATTAAACTTTTTTAGCGTAATCGCACCTCCACAAACAAAGTGTATACCAAGATCCATTTCAATTAGATCAACTGTGATTGGTTGATTCTATTAAAGCTGCAGCACCTAATCAAACCCCAAAAAATAGACCTATGCAACATGAATGTATTTTTAGGTCAGCCTTTAGAGCTCAAGTGTGAAAATGAGATAGCTACCCTTGGTCAGTCAATCTGCTCAATCGCCTAATCAATACTTTCTTACAACCTTGCCAAAGATAACTGGTTTCCTATTAAGATTAAGACAAGGCCTGATTTGTTCACAAAATTCTACTTTCTCTTGCTCTTTTCTATTACTTATATATGGAAGAAAACTGTTAGATACTACATTATGAAGTCCTAAAACAAGAGTGAAAAAGGTCTAAAACATGTCTAAACTCACTGTACACCTGAGATTACTTGAAGTCTTTCCTGACACCATGTAAGGCTACTACTGTACAATCGGAGCAAGGAGGGGGTCATAAATAAATCCTCTGCTCTCCCACCGCGGCAGCCGTTCCTATAAATTCCCATAATCCGGCTTCGCTCATTTTGATGCAGAGTCCCATTCCAACTGAATTAATGACTTTCGGTGTGGCATCAAATCACCTCATTACAGCGAGTTGATTCGAGCACTTGCTTATCGCTGCAAAACCGGAGTCCCCAGAGAGCCGCAGTGACTGACATGTTCTCATCACTGCCGACCGGGAAATCTACAGACCACAGCCACTGAGGCTTCAAATGCTGCTGGTCGTTTCCTAGCACATCTTCTAAGGTCAACTACTACACCCAACGAAAACATTATTTATTCTCGATTAAAGGGTGATTTACATTTTAGATGAATCTGATTATGTGTTGCAGATCAATTATTTCATGGAGGTAAAATTAGTATTGAGATTCTATAATTGGGACGTGGACATAATTGGACCAATGTGTCTTTTACTGAAGATGTCGTAATTCTATCACACCAGCATAGATTAAACCACAAAGTATCATTGATGTAAGAATGTACCACTATTGCACCATTCATTTTCCAACTCAATTTGAAAGGTACACAAGGTCTGTCAAAGCCCTCTAAATCATGTCATAATAACTTTGTAGGGCAGGACTATAAGTAGAATAGGATTAATCAACCTTTTTGAAAATGAGACAATATGAGAAATGTCGAAATCGAGGTAATGTTTCTTCTGGCCTCTACTTCTCTCGGCATTTGTTGTTTAGCTGAGCCATACGGTGAGTTCATATAACAGAATAGTCCACATTGCAGTATTTTCAGAAACGGCACAGCATCAATTATAGATGTCAATGTCTGTACAATACTTTTATGATAGTTTTGGATGGCAATTTGAAATATTTTTGAAATTTGAATATTTACCTTTTTCATTAAACAGTTCAGTGACTCTGTTTTATAGTTGAGATATCTTAAATTGCAATAGTGCCTTGAGGCCAGGTCCCCGTCGAAAAAGAGAAGGGGGATTATGATCATGTACAGGTAACATTACTCTAGAGATTCTGGATTAACATCGGCCAGTGAATAGTCTATCACATATATTGAAAGACCCAATCAATATGTCCACTTAACCCATTTCAAAGAGCCAGTACATCTTCCTGGATCGGCACCGGTGTCTGTGTCGGTGCATCCCTAGTTTTATCCATTCATTACTTTGACATGATCGACGTTCAAGTCAGCGTCAGAATTTACAAGTGTTGAATGAATGAAATATGAGAACATTGTAAATCAATCGCATCGTTGATTATATTACATGCATACATTACATTCCAGAAAATGCATTTCCACTGACACTTTGATGTTGTTTATTTTGCGTTGGTTATGTTTTTTGTAAAGGTCAGGGTAAACAGCCTCTTAAACACGACCTTGGTGTCTCCTCTGCTGACGAAGAGAGGACGCCATCTGTCTGGAGCTCCACGCAGCTCCATAAACACTCTTCTTTTGGTCCCAATAGCAGCTCATTATTCACCACCGATCCAACTCTGGGCACAACGCACACATGTTTGAGACGGTGAATGTGGAGCTATGCCTGCAATCCATGGAACACATATTTATGGGTGCTGCGTACGTTCAGCTCTCTGCTGTCATCTCTGGAATAAATATAACAACAAGGAAATGGACTAAAATCCTTCATGTTTTGTCATTTAATCTTCTGTTCGGAGAGATTTTTTTTTTTGAATAATCCTTTCATGTTTATTTTTAATATTGTTTCAATCTCTATACCATCGCTCCAGGTCTTTTTGCTTTGTATTTGATTGAAATTTATTCTCTTGGAGCCCTAGCAGCAGCTTCTTGCACTGAGCTGTCTCAGTATTTAGTAGGAGAAAATAAAAAATAATGGGGAAGCAGGTTTAGAAATGTCATTGAAGGTGTTTGGAGACACATCTTCAATCACTCTAGAGTTTCATTCTGCAGAAGCTAAAAGTGGCTTTTGAAGAGACACTTCAAAATAGAATGGTCTTTTTAGCAATCCCCAGAGACTAGTATAGTTCTGAATGACCTATACTAGTGATATATTAATTACATCCAATGTTTTTTTTTAAATCATCAAATATTTTGTTATAATAAATTGCATCCGTTTTATAGTTTTTTTTCCCCGGACACTTCAGTGTCTTCATATGGCATTATTTATTCACTCCATACACAGTGGTGATAAACTACTACTGCCCCGAGGCACACTGACAGAAGCAAGGCCACGAGTATGTGCCCTTCCGATCATTCACGCACACCAGCATGTACAAGGCAATGTGGGTGAAGTGTCTTGCCTAAAGACACAACAAGAACAACACATATATTTAGTCTTTAAATGTTTTGTATCATCTGTTTGTTTTATTCTTTTTGAAGGTTCTCACCCTAACCACGTTGAAATACATTCTCAAAAGGCCCCAGTACGGTAATAAACAGTAAAGTACAGAAATAAAAAAATAAAATTTCAGAAAACAATTGACACTGTGAAATCGATCGACTAAAACTTTTTCAATACAAGTGCAAGATCATTTAATGTGCTGTTCAAACTAATAACAGCTTGTTGAAAGAAGCCGTTGACATTTCCAGATGTCCTGCATCGCAACGAACGATATCTTCTACCCGCAGGAAGAAGATGGAACAGGGCCTTTCCAGGGTGGCCATAAGAGTAATTGATTATCTTAAGAGCTCGGTTTAAAAGTCTGGATTCATAAAGAGCCTCCAGAACCGGCAGCTCATAGTACTCTTTCAGAACCGAGCACTTTGTTTAGAGTTTGTAATGTCCAATAAATGAGCTAATAACTGAGTGTTGTGTGTGCACAGGGGGGAAATCACTTTGACCAGTATGAAGAGGGCCAGTTGGAGCTGGAACAGGCGTCCTTGGACAAGCCCATTGAACCGGTAAGGCCACACCCATCTTTTCTGCACCGTGGGACCAGCTGTGGATGATTGGATGAGTGGTCCAGAGAACTATTAAGAGCCACACCTTTACCTCACTCATGTGTCCGTGTTAGGGCTAGGGTTTCATTCAGTGTCGCCATCTAACCCATAGACTACACTTTACATTATTTATTAATCCCCCTCTGCTCGCTACTATCTCCTTGGGACTAGTAAACTCGTGCATACTATACGTATAATCCATGGAATTTACATACCCTTTTACATAGCTTGATGTCTTCCATTTGCCATTGTTAGTCCTCCAAGCTACGAAACAACTTTGAATAGAGAGGATACAGCACTGCTTACCTAACAAGAAAATCAGCTATAACCTTACTTCATTGGTATTTTTTGTATACAAATCTGCATATTGTTATGAAGTATTTCGCAGTACTTTTTCCTCTCTATATCCCCTAGGAAGAGTTGCACATTAGATGGTGTGAAAGAAAACATTTGTGTTTGAGTGCGTGTGTGTCCATAGACTAGCATTGATGTATAGTGTTTGTGTCTATAGGACAGTTATCTTATTGTACACAACTTGGGGTGTTCGACATTTCTCTCCTGCAGCGAATTGGCCCCCTATTAGCTAAGCAGCAATGACCCGGTTTGTATTTGCACGCTCTGCTTTCTTACTCCTATCATAGGGTCCTTGTAACGCTTCTCTCTATCTCTTCTTCACTTATCTCCTCTCACTCTATGCTCTTTCTGTACTACAGTTATTAGGTGTACAGTACCCTCTGTCATTCTGTGCTGGCATGGTGCTTGTGCAACTGGGACTGCATTTTTCGCTGAAGAGGCACATGGATAATAGCGCAGGCAGTGTCTTGATTTCCCCTCTTTCTGTCGCTGAAGCGCTCTCCTTCCCATAAGCTGACTCTTAAGCAGTGTGGTGAGCAGGCCCTGGCTCCTGTTTCCACAAAACCCAACCATTATGCATTCGGCCATCCTCTAAACCCAGCCAAAAGCCTCTTATGTTGGCATTTCTAGTCACTAATGCCCAGAGAGGCTATCATACTAGAAAAATACAACACAGCATTCACAGAACTAACAGTAATGATCACATTTGGCTTGTTTCTAAGGCTCCAATCTTTCCCAAGGTAACCCTTATTCAAACACATATAGTCTGCCAAGGTTGAATAGCGCTCATTCAAATCCCAGATATGGTGCGTGGGTGCAGAAAAGAGGTGGCTTGCTCACCTGGCTTGAGTGGCTCATTGGCTCCTGCGCTATTATTTGTGGGGGGGGGGCACTGACAGCTGAGATTTGGCATTTCACAGTTAAAGCAGGCAGAGTTTGTATAGATGTAACACAGCTCTTTCACTTATATATGATTTAGTTGAATCATAATTAAAATTCATGTTAATATCTAGATTACCCAATTTGTTTTCACGTCAAATTGTACATGATTTAAACAGTGCAGGTTTGAAGAGGTTTGATACATCTGTGAATGCCTTGGTCCAGCTGCGCAGAGTCCCGCCCCGGCCGTTTATTGTGTGTGATTTTTAGGCAGCTAGAGGTCTGTGGTACTTTACTGGGATCTATTTACTCTTTCTGTCCTTCCCCTTTTGGTCTTCGCTCTGACTCTTAACATTGTTTTGCATTGCATGTTTTAACTTTGGTAGTATATTCGGTACTTCTTCTTGTTACTCTTGAATCATTTCAACAGATATACCCCATATCTCCTCCCATCTGCCTCCCAACAATATCCCTCCCTCCTCTCCTACCCCTGACCCCATCCAAGAGCGATATGCAGTGGGCGTCCTCAGAGCTACAGGCAGCGCTCCAAATATTTATAGCTTTTAATCACCTTTTTAATTATTAGTTATTTATACACTCCGGAAAATTGAACATTTGATTAAATATGCAATTGGTGTCATTTTTTACCCTAGCATAGGCATTGGTCTGAACAAAAGTTTTTTGTCTGCAAGCCAGTCAAGCTCCAGGCTAACACGTTCCTTGCACACAGCAAAGAGTACTTTGTAATAATTTGATATTTTGTTAAACTTGCAGAAATTGACCACCGTGTTTCAAAGGTAAGTAAAAGTAAACGACCTTGTGCGATAGTAAATTGAATGTTTTCTTTTTACAGCACTGAGGTGTCTTTTTAAAATGCCACTGATTTAAGCCACATTTTCAGTGTCAAGTGACTTAGCATAAGTTACACTTAATGATTTATATCCAATTCCCTTTAGGGTTTTAATCAACCCCTTAATACTAAATACTGTCTGCAGCTTAGATTGTAGCCTCTGAGGTCCTTGTGTGGGGTCCCCTGCATATCACTGCCCTCTCCCATATCTCCGGCCCCTAAAGCCACCCGCTCTTGTAGACCACTGGATAACGTTTTCTATGTTCTTTTCCTTGTATTAACAGTCAGTTGGTGGATATATTGATATGCTAATTTCCTGTTTGTACTCTATTTGTATTTGTTAATGGCAGAGAGAGATTTGCATTTGTAAGACTTAGAGAAGCTAGTAGAACTGCAGTTCAAAGCGTTTGGCTGGTTTCTTACGTTGTGTCACGTGTGACTGTTTTTTTGACAGCCCAGTATTTTAAAGCCAGGTTCGTATGGAAATGCCTTCACTCCACTTGCACTGCTGTTGGACTCGCCGCCGTTGCTTTCATCCGTCTGTCTGTTTCTTCTTTTGGTGCATTCATCTGTGCTTCAACATGCGGTCCGCACCTCATCTCCGCCCAGCAACTCCTAATACACTTATCGGCATCTGCTGTTAGTTACTTCATAGTTACAATTAAAGCCTTTTATGGTTTAAGTGGTTTAAGTATGATAACTGGTACTGGTTATCAAAAGGGAAAAGGGCCAAAAACGACTATTGATAATGACTCTCTATAGGAGGTGCTCAAAATGTTCTTGTTCATAGTATTTTGCTAAAACTATCCAATAAATAGACGATCTAAAAGAACAAGTATGCATTATTCTGGCTGTGTATACAGTAGTTGTTGTCTCGTTGTGGTGGACATAAAGTGCTCCGTGTTGGTGGGAGGGGTTCACTGCAGCACATTCTGCAGAATTGCTTCGTTCTCCCTCAGCAATAAAACCAAATTGTCTGAAGAATTGCCTGTAAGACAGAAATCTGACACAGACTGGCATCAAGTTTGTGCTGTCTGTTGTTTGGCCTGGATACAGATTTATGGCTCGGATTCCTCTCTTATCTACTGCGGAAATATCTGACAGTCTCGCTCAGTGAACACAGCACAACTTAAATCTATCAAAGGGAGCAGCCTTCACCAAACAGGAAGTGCTGCTGTTTAGAGGCATTGGGGAAACAACACTAAAAGTAGTCGTTTCAAAGAATTAAAATGCATATTTGTTTTATTCAATAGCAAAGATTCACCATTTATTTACGTAAACAGATGGTCGAAACAGAAACATTAAGACTATTTACTATTGGTATTTACTTCTGTGATGAAATGTGCCCTTATTTTTCTTTAAAACATAACATAAATTGAGTTCCATTAAAATAATAACCTTGTGTTTAGTCAAGATTAAACTTTACATTACTAGCATGAAATCTGTAAAATGTGAACATGCATTTCCCATCACACTATATATATGGGATCAGTTTTGTGAAATCATACTAGAGCTGCAACTAACGATTATTTTTACGATTAATCGAGTAATCGCTTGGCTGTGAATTGTGTAGAAAAAATTTATTTTTTCATCACAAAAAGCTAAAGTGGCAAAACTCGAGGACGTATTGATGGCGTAAACTTAAAGTAAATGTTTGTAACAGGCTCTTTGTGCTAATTCTGCTATCTGATTGGATGAGACAGACAGATATTCATGAAATTATAAAAACAAAGTCGGTTTTAATAAAAAAATACTACATTTTCATGTCATTTTTGCTCTGTTTGAGTCCGTGTGAACCAGAAAACGATTTACGGATTACTAAAATAGTTGTTGACTATTTCAATAATCGATTAGTCGTCGATTAATCGATTAGTTGTTTCAGCCCTAAATCATACTCAACGATTAACTTCACATATTCTTCCACTTTAATTGTATAGCACATTAATATAGCACAACACACTGCTTAAATATAGATTCTTCAAAAGTCCTGGTGGTGACCCACTTTTTGTGGAGTGGTTCGTTAGCGACTGATTTGCTTGAAACACTGCTCAGTTTGGTTTAAAACATGTGCATTCCTCAATTGTAGCAGATTCTCATGAATAACATTTAAGTTATTAGATTTTCTTAATAATCTGGCTGTACTTGCAATTTTAACAAAAACAAAAGCAAAAATTCTATACTTCCCTCTGGTGGTAGCATAGTGATATGGCACGTCAATAGCATTTCTTTACCTTCATACTTGTTTCGCCATATATATTCTTTGAAGATATTATTTCGCATTCCAAAAAGTGAAATGTCAAAGTAGATAGTCTTATAAGTTTCAATGGCCAAATGAAAACATGTAATAGAGCAATGCATATTCATTATTAAGATGGAGATTGAATGATAGAATAGGTATTTGAGTCTATGCAGTTTAAGCAGTCTAAAGTCTTGTGTTGCAATGTTTTGGTCGGAGATGCCGCGCGGCCGTGTGTCTTGACATCTTTCACGTGCACTAACCCATTGACGCTCACCTCATGGTCCTAAACCCACCTCCTCATGGCTCCGGTCGCTCTGTCATGTCGACCGGAGCCATCCTCACCTCCCTCTCTCTGTGCCTGATCCACGTTGACTCTAACACAGTTGCAGTTTTGTGTCAACCACCTGCCATTTGCCCCCGTGTCCGTGTCCACAGTGCACTAACACCAATTGTCCTTTTTGTTAAAGCTCATTTAACAAAAAAGCTGCATGCCGTTGTTGGTTTATATTTCAATTTTGTTGTTCCAAACCCCTTCACTTTTCTGTTTGTGAGAGTTGATATCGATCTCTTTGTGATTATAAATATCCTTTTTGTTTGGTTTGTATGTCTGTTTGGTAGAATGCAGCACTCTGGTGAATGTCAGCCAACGCTTGGATTAGTTATAATCACAAGTGTAAAAACAAAAACACGACTTATGTAGAAATCTCATTGTGTCCTGTAATATTTGTGCTTGAGGGTGTACTTAAGTCTAGTGTGTAGTGGTGGGACGGTGTTGTTTTTGTTTTCCTGTGGTAAAATAGCTTCTCAAAAATACCATGTAGTTTAAGAATTCTAGTTGTGCATGTGTTTGTTCCGACATATTTGCTTTGTAATAAATTTGTCAGTATAGCGTAAACTAGCCTGCATATAATCCATTATGAGAAATACTTGCCTCTTAAAGCTGGGGTACCCAACTATTTTCATTGACATTGGCAAATTTTGTTTATCCCTCCAGAAAATGTAACAAATTATACAGCTCCAAATTGCCCCACATTGGAAATAAAAATTTTTTACTGCTATAATCTAAGAAGAGGAACAAGGACGAGCCCTGTCAGTCACTATTTGACTCTATGAGCTGATTGGCTGATCAAGCGCAACTATAACATTTCTAATTCATCTAATCAAGCGTTCTAAAGCCAATAGCAAAAATATGCTTGCAGGTTATTACTCTTTTCTTTTTTTTTTCTTTTTTTTTGTGATGGCAACAAGTTTCTGAAAGTTGCTACCCCAGTTTTAAATTAGTATTAAAAACAGTTTACGGTACATCATTTTATAGCTTGGCCAAACAGGCTGTACACTCCACGCACCTTGTTTTTATAACCCAATTTGTTCAGTTGATGACAAATCAAAGAAATGTGACCAAACACATGCACAATAAGTGACTTTTCTGAACTAGCGCCGGGGGCCACATCCACACACAATATCTGCCTTCACGGTCCCTCCTCCACTGCACTGTTCTGTCCACCCATGGCCTTGTAATGGTAACCCAAGGCCCACACCAGTATTACATATATCACCTCCTCTTCGTCTTGCTTGGTTTTATTTTGTTGTGACAGCTGCTGAATGTTTCATGGTGCCTTCTCCCCCACCACCTTTTTATGTCATGGTTACGGTATCACAGCAAGCTTGGAGTTTCTGGTGTCGTTTTTTATTTATTTTTTTCGTTCAATGCAAGATTTCCATACCTGTACTGTGTCACTTGATTTTGTCGTGGACTTTAAAAAGCTCGCCCCTCTCTGTGGTTCATATATGTAGGCGTGTGATACATATGTTTACCCGCTCCTATACCTTTCCTTGTGACTTAAAACATAGTGAGTTGGTGTGTTCAAAATGCAGACATGCCAAATTTATTTCTATGCAGAGATGTAATTCAAGTTTACACACATGTCTTTTTTTACGTTGGACGACAGGCTTTTTAGAAATCCCTCGTCACTACCCTCTTTATAATAACACTATTTCTGCTGGAATACACTGATATATTACTTGCTATAGATGCGAATGGTAAATGTGAGGAGTGGTGATGGTGGTGGTTGTGATGACCGTGTGACTTGAGTGAATCTTTTGTTTTCATTTTTTTTATCATTTGGAAATTAACTGTGACCCGTTTTTAGCATAACGGGTAAAAGCTCTTCTTATTATTGGAATATTTTTGGTTTTTCTCCTCTGTTTTCTCTGCCAGGATAACATCGGACACCGGTTGCTTCAGAAACATGGATGGAAGCTGGGGCAAGGCCTGGGCAAAACAATGCAGGGTAAGAGGACACTCAAAACACACAATCTTAAACAAGCTGGTGTACTCTACTTCAACTTTCTACTTTCTATACACTTATTTTCAACCAGCCATTTCATTTTCTTTACTTTGTTGAATTTACTGATGCTGATTGTGACCGTTCTACCTGTTTGAGAAAGTGCTTTTCATGAGTACCGCAGGACAACGCTGTCTCTGTGTGGTGATTTTGCCTGTCTATTGTTTTGTAGTATCATTGTAGGCCGCAGAAAATGCTGCATATACTTTAGTTAGAGACTCAACTTGCAAACGCGTAGGCTTGTTGACGTTTGGACCACTCCCAGTCCCAGATGTTGTTAGTGCTAAAATATGGGTTTGCATGAAGAATGAGGATTTTTTAATGACGCACTATGTAATGTTTCTGTGGAGGATTCGCCATCTGGTTGTCTTTGTGCGTATGCCATTGATTTGACAGCTCCCTGAGGTTTGTGCAGTAAAGACGCCAAACATTGAATTCATATAATAATAATAATAATAATACATCTCAAGGTACTACAGCAAGTTATAAACACTAATATACTAAGAATACTGCGTACACCAGGTAATGTATATGATCACCAAATTAGGGTTAGAAAGGAGCCATTTTATGCTAAATCATTTGAGTTTTTGAGAACCTTTCAATAGTTCCCTCACCAAACACCGACCTGGAGTTGTGTTTAGATTCATCCACACTAATATCAGAAACTGGCACTAGCATGTAACTCCGCCATTCTGGTGAAATCTCCTGTCTCTTGTCAAAAAGGGCATAAAAGTTCTTTACAAATGTTTCACTTTCAACAAAGCACCTTTACAAAGTATCAGACTAACCTAGTTTAGTCTTCACTTAGTTCACCCATTCACTTATGTACAAATTACCCCATAATCCTAAATTGAACATTATATTGACTAAAATGCGGGTGTGGCAAATGCTAAAACTAAATTATTATAGCCATGAAACCATAAAATCAATCAATAAAAGTGAACCTTGTGAATGAAAAGTTTGATTGCTTTGAAGAATAACAAAATTCCCATAGATTTGCTTGTAATTTAATTTCAAATACAATGTTTCTACAATGACTGTCTGCTTTATAGTTCACACATAAGATTAAAACAGGCCACAAAAAACACACTGGTCCTAACTTGGGTCCATATAGTAACATACTAAAAACATACACACATTTTTGAAACACATAGTTATGTATATCGTCTCAGATTCAGTTTCTTCATCATTTTGCTTCAAATTCAGCCGCCAGTCGAGTGTAAAATCTCTGGCATTGCATGAACATTTCCCAAAGGTTGACCACACTTGGCGGATCCTGGTAGAGTTATAGTGCACCGTTAATGCACCTTCATGATTCAGCTCAGTGATTGTCTTTTCACTTTCGCTTTTACAGCACAGACATGGACTGAAGCACTGCGGTCTTTTGTAAGCACTATCCACGCTCCTCAGCTCTTTTCAGTCCGCGGCTCAATAATATGTGGAAGTGGGTGAGCGCTGTTCATCGGCTTGCGGCAGCTGTAATTGGATAGCCTTGTCCGTATTGACTTGCTGCTGGAGTGGGAGTCGACGTGTGGGCTGCTTTGGCTAACGTCAGCAGCTCATTAGCACTAGCTTGCCGCGCTCATAGGCTCCCTGGGTCTGACTCAGTCCTGGCATGTTTCCACACAGTGCCCTCCTGTTGCTGCCCTCTCCTCGTAGCTGCTGTTTTAGTCTTATTTCTTCATCTCACTGCCGCAGCTTCATAGGCCCTAGCTTCATATGCCATTGTCAATTCTTATGCCTTTGTCATACAAAAAAAAACTTCTATCTCTTTCCCATCTGAACAAACATGAGAAAAATACATTTAAGAAATTTAGTTTAAGAGCCCTTTAATAGAAAACATTATAGTTTACTTTGAATAACCATTGTTAAAACATTCTTGGGCGCAATTATAGTATATTTATTTATTTGCTATGGACAGTTTGTTTCTTTTTAGTTTTAGTCTTATTTCTTAATCTCCCCATCGCTGTAGGTTCATATGCCATTGTCTATTAAAGGAAAAATTGTGAGTACGGGAAGTCATTGCTCTTTTTCGACACAGCTTGCTATTCCCTCTGACATATTTGCTTACTAAAAACTCACTAAAGATTTGAAATAAGCCTTCCACCATTTGTTGAACTACTAGAATCTTCCCCATTTCAACATTCAGCAATCATCATTCCTAGTGCACATTTAGACCTGATCCGCTTTGTGAAAACTAAATTAATTGCGCAAAAACTAGGCCGACTCCCTTTGACTAACCCCAACCCTTAAGAAATAATTCCATACATAATTGGGCATAGCATGTGCCTGGGACGACAGAGAGCACTGTGTTCAGACCTGCAATTTAACCTAATTTCCACCTAATACAATCAGGTCGCCATTACCGCCCCGTTTTAACCATGCATGAGGTCCACAGAATTTAATTTGCAATCACATGATGCATGAAAAGCCAGATGTATTGATAGAAATGCTTGGTAACTGTTACACTTACAATTATGTGTGGTTGAATTATTAGATGTAATTTAGTGAAGGCATTGAGATTGTATTTTGTGATGTCATCTCGGGAGCTGGAGGCTGTTGTCGCGAATGATAAGGACTTTATAATAGGAATTTCACAAAGAGGAAACACTCTTTTGTGTGTCATTGTGTGTGTACTTTGTGACCTATAGTTAATGTAAACACTGAAACATGAAATGCAGTGTATGCATTAAGTGGAATAGATGCATAATTTGGCTTCTTGAATTCTTTTGGTGCTTTTAAACTATGATTGAAGACATGACTAATGGACTATTACCAGATTTCAAATCCCTCACATATTTCCTAAAAATATGTTGTGAAATATATTGTGGTAAAGATTACTGGTCTACAACAGATAAGAGAAGTAAATTAATTTCTAATTTTTTGAATGCAATATTGACCCAGACGTCTGATTTTTTTTTTATGTTTTATTTTTTTTATGAATGCTTTCATTCAATTTGCATATACAATTATTATAAATGTATTTTAGTTCAGTATTGATATTAACCTCTTATTAATTGACAACCTTGATTATACATGCTATCTAGTAGAAACAAAAAAATTTTTTTTTAAAGCATTCTTGAAAACAATTATAGTATATTGTTTATTTGCTTTAGACAGTTAATTAGGACAAACCATATGCGCTGTCTTTAGTGTTATAGTAAGACCATGCTATTTTTCAATTATATATATTTTCTGCCCTAATGTGTTTTTTATTAGTATGCTTTCAAAATATATTGATAGAATTCATTTTCAGATGTTGCAATACAATAATCTGTAGTATTTGTGGATGTGTCTGTTTATGTAACCAGTGAATCTCAGAGATACTAAGCAGACTTTAGTCACAGCTCTAGTTTTGGAAAAAGTTGGCGGCCATCGACTGGTGAAGATTTATGTCATAGTTGGGCCGTGCACATATATGGTTGTGCTTCCCGTTGTTGTGGAGTTGCTAAGCCCCTGCTCTGAGTCGGACCGTGGCTTCTTACCAGCACACTACCTCATTGTGGGAGAGCCAACCGTTGTGCGCCATGTCGATTTCTTATTTGGCATTTGAAGTCGGGGTAACCGTGGAATGATTCTATAAAAATCCTGTGCTTGTGTGTGTAGGGCACAGCAAGTCACCGGGTTCACGCTGTTGTTTTTGCCACCGGCTCTTTTCAGTATTTGGTTATATAATCAAAAGGGTAGTAAATAAACGCACACTACGTCGCTCTTTGCAATCATCGTTTTCCCTCTCCTTCCCTGTCCTCTGACAACTACAAAGTTTTACAAAACATTGTCTCCCCTTTTTTAAGTTTTCACTGTATTGACTTTGTTCTTATTCTTCTTTTGTCCCTTTGCCCCTTTTTTAGGTAAGGTTTGTTGGGACCCTCTGTATGTCCGTATGTGTATGTGTGGGTGTGCTTTCCTTTCTCCCACTCTGCAGTTGACTTTTTACTGTAACAACTTTTTACAGTGTACCGTAGGCTAATGGCCCCCTATCAGCTTCCTACTGTTCGCTTCATAATCACTAAACCTTTATTTCAAGTATTGTGAGTGTTTCTGCTTTGAAAAAAAAATAAAAAAATTGTAAAATATCCTTTGAAATCAAGGTAGATTTAGGAAGCCACAATTCCAACTGTAGTGTCAAATCACCACCAAACATCTAGATTTCCCTGACTCTCAAGGCTGCTGTATCTGGGTATCTGATTGGCTGTAACATCGACTGTGAATGGCTTGCAGAGTAGACAGTTTTCCCTCTTTCTGCCTGTTTTTTGCCTGTTTCTACCTCCAAACCGGTGAAACTCATGTGTGTGTGTATGTATGTACTACTGACCACAACGGGCCAAAGCGTCAACTTACAGGGACGACCTCACCACGTTCTGAACCCCTACCCCACCCATGGCCACACCCATTCTCCACCCCATGTTTCTTTACCTTCCCGCACAGCATGTTGTCCCAGAGCTGTACTCCTGCCTGCCTCAGACTGCCACTAAACCTCTGGGCTTTCAGCAGTGCTGGAGTACGAACACTAAACACACTCATTTGTTCGACAAGATAATGGGATAGATGGATAGATTCCCTGTGAGTACGTTTGAAAAGCACTTACGAAAACCACCGATCACTCTCCCTGTCCAATTTCATTCGAATCTATGCGCTCCAATCTATATGCGAGAATCCAACTGAACTGTTTCTACTCCAATTGACACTGGGATGTAACCACTTAAACTAGATCCTATTGAGACACAACCACCAGACGCATTTAAGAGCGCAGGTAATATCTGACAGAACTGCTTCTTCTCCATCTGACACTGGGATGTAACCAAGTGAACTGAATCATATTGACACCGCAACCAGATGCATCTAAGATCGCAGGGAAAATCCACAGGAATCATGGTGTGTTTAAGAGAAATGGGGAAATTAAGTTTTTTGCTCCATCTTAAGCATGTGAAATTGAAATGCCCATAATAATAAAAAATTGGTGTGATTACATTTGCAGGACGTGCGCTTACAATGTATCTATTAAATTTTATTTACGATTACAAAGTTTGTGTAGTAATGTAAAGTTACAAGATTCCGTTGAAATCCCCGAAAGGCTCCGCTCTGTTTTCGTACCGGGGATAAGCCCTCGGTATGTAAACAAAGTACCTGTAACAAAGTCCCAGAGTGGTAAGACTGGTTTCAAAATGGCACCGATTAGAGTGACATATCATTTTGCTTATAGTAAACGTACTCACTGTGGGAAAAGTAGCATTGGACATACACAAGACAGAAAAAAAGCAGTAGATAAGCTATGTTTTACTCCGCTCTAAGCACTGCTCCAAGCTCTCTGGTTTTCTTCTCAGGTACATCTGTGTGTGTCATGTCATCACAGCTGTCGGTTAAGCACATCCAAAACTTGACTTGCCAGCTGCGTGCTAGCAAGAAAGTAAACACATTATTCACTGGGAGTTTCGCTAACTGGGCTGACAACTGTTTGAGAGGCAAAAAAACTCAACGGGGGGAAATGGAGGCCGTTTATAAATGCTTTTTAAATGGCTTCAATTTGAAATAATCAACTAATTGCTTCCAAAAAAATCAGTAGAATTGGCTTTCCGTTAATGAGGTTAGCTTTGTATGTTACGCATGGCAATGTGATCGAGCCAAAGCCAGATTAGAGGCCTGGGGTCATGGGCGAGCAAGTGGTGAGTGAGGATCCCTGTAAGCACCGAGCCCTAAGTGAAGGGATGAGGGGGGGTAGGGGTGACACCCTGACGCCCCTGTAGTTCTGCCCCTGAAACCCCACCCTCCCTTCTCTATGTGCCTCAATCTTCCTGCTTAACCAATTGGTGTTTCTTTTTTACAGCTATTTGATCCTGCCCATGTTGTGCTGATGGTAAACTTAGTGGTAAATGTTATTTTATCCCCAATTGAATTATTTTCTTTATTTTTGTTTTTTTATTTCTCCCATAATTTATTTACCTCTCATCAGAGCACCAATGCTACATAGGCTTCCAATTCTCTATGTATTAGTCGTCATCCTGCTGCTTGTATTTATATATCATGCATACGTATTACTTCTAGAACATTGTCATTTTGTTTGTTTTCAGTTTTTAACCTTGTGATTCACACCTTGTGATTATCTAGATGCACATTGTTTTGTCTGGTCCTTTCTTTTCCACTGGAATGGATAATGTGGAAGTATCGTCACTGTGTTTGAGGACTGGTGATAGTTTGGGATGACTTTAATCATTCATTAATCTTTAATCCTGGATCCCGTTCACACAGACCACTGCAGTGGCTAACAGACCCCACTCTGTTGTGGTTTCAGTTCTGATGCTGTGATCAGTAGGTAGTCTTGTGATACATAAATTACATCATCTCTCTCTGCTCTGCTCACTTCTCTGTGGAATAATGCCTCTAATATTGAAGCCGCCATAGATCCCTCCCATCAAACACTGCAGTGGGACTGCGAGTCCAGGCCAGCCATTATATGTCAGTGCACCATGCATCTATGATTTCAGACATGTCATTGGGCTGTGATGGAGTCAAGACAGTGGAGAAATGTTTTGTTTGAGAACTGGCACCAGAAAAAATGTTGAAATATCTATAAACACATTAAATGTGCTAAATTTTTAGTTTTGATTCTTTCCAATGTGTTTGAATGAATTCCATATGCCCAATGGTATACACCAAGAACTAATTCATGGGAGTAAATTAATTGAAATGTATTGTGGAGGAAAAAACTGAAACCAAACCGAATTGATAATCAGAACGTTTGATTATTGTATTTGGCTGGCAACAGGAGCAGCAGATTAGTCCAAATTCTCTATATGCATTTTGTTATGAGATTCCCCTGTCTATCTATCTGTCTGTCCTCCCCCCTCCCACCCATCCCATAATGTGTCCAGGTGAGTATCCCCCTGCACTGTCACCATGGCGATACCTGGCCTGTGACGTCACTCTGCCGTAGTTCAGTGCTTGTGTCCTTTTTAATTTTACTGTCTTTCTCTCTGCTTTGTTTGGCTGATTATGAGTGGATTAAGCAATGTGTCGATCTCCAAAGTAGTTTGATTTTATATATTTTATATCTTTAATGTTTCATTCTTGTTTTTGGTTGTCTTTGGTTTATTTTTCTACAATCTCCTTCAGAGCTTGCTCTTTTCACAGCTTACGTAACAGAGTTTAAGTAGACATCATTTTTAGTGAACTGTGCTTGGGGCAAGGGAGGTCATTTGATTTGGACTTGTGGACATTGAAAAGGACTTGCAGCAGTCAGCCATGCCAAGCTTAGAGAGAAGTGATTCAATTGGTCTGTTCCAGGCCTGAGTAGTGTCGCAGTGACAGTGGCTGCGCAGGCTCTCCACACACGACTCACCGAGGCTGTCCTTGATAAACTCGGCATTCAGGTTTAACAAGACTGCAGCAGTCGCAGGATGAACACTGGGCTCTGTTCTATATCACATACACAAACAATTGAGTTATAAGGCTGGGCATTCTGTACAAATAATCCATCAAAACTGTCCAACTGTTTATTATCTCAAGCATTAGTTTGATTAAAAAATACCAATCAGACTACTCACTGAAGTGGATTGGAAATGACAATGATATAATGTATGATCGGACCTGACTGAATGTGTCTTCAATTAAAATGTATTGCCCCGCCTTTAATTAGCATGAAAGATCAATATTCCAATTTAGAAAGTATTTTAAAATAGATAAAATGTGCTGCCCTTGGTGGCTGTGGTAAGCTGTGAGAATGGCCAGCATTTGGTTCACTGTAGCTTTTTGGTCTCTGCACTTGAAGGCAAAATTCTCTAACCCCAGCACCCTATGCTCTATAAGCAGGCAGTCTCCGAGCTGGTCTCATGCCCCAGTTTCAAAAACTTCACTAACACCTTGTTCTGTGTTTCTTTTCTCAGGACGCACCGACCCTGTGCCCATTATCATCAAACATGACGTTATGGGGATGGGACGGATGGAGATGGAGGTGGGCTGCTTTTTATAGACCACACACAATTAATGAGTAGTTCTGTTGATCATACAGTACTTCTATATGTCTTACATATAGTTATATATAACTAACATATATAACTTTGTTACTATGACACTTTTTTACTCTACTTAATACTATATTTCCACAATTAGATAGGAAATGCAGCACAATTCTATGTATTTTAGTATAGCTCTAAATGACAACAGTAGTTATCTCAGAGGACAAAGTTGTACATTAAAAAGCACATAGAGCCATTGGTCCATAAATGACAAATAGTCCATAAATGTGTTAAAGGATGTCCTGGATCACCACTACTGTTCTTAGACTCCTTGCAACAGACTGCCTTTTTGAGTAATTGCACAAAAATACTTTATTCACTCATGAGAAACTATCTTGCCGTTGTAGCTCGACTATGCAGAAGATGCCACAGAAAAACGAAGAGTTCTGGAAATCGAGAAGGAAGACACAGAAGAGCTGCGGCAGAAATACAAGGTCAATATTTAGTTTGCTCTTTTACAATTCTGCGTTGGGCGGTAGTTGCATGCAAACATGTATGCAAATCATGGTGTTAACTCCTTTTGTTTGTCTTTCAAATTTAGGACCAGGTGGAAAAGGAAAAGGCCATCGCAAAGGCTTTGGAAGACCTGAGAGCAAATTTCTACTGTGAGCTATGTGACAAGCAGTACACCAAACACCAGGAGTTTGACAACCACATCAACTCCTACGACCACGCTCATAAACAGGTATACCAGACACCTAATATAGACAACTCTATGTAGTCGTACTTAATATATTTTTTCTTTTTGGTGAAATGCAGAGACTAAAAGAGCTAAAACAAAGAGAGTTTGCACGGAATGTGTCATCACGCTCTCGTAAAGGAGGAAAGAAGCAAGAAAAGATGCTGCGTAGATTGCAAGTGTTGGCTCAACAAAGAAATAAGCAGGAGAGGTAAGCATGCAGTGCCCCCTTGTGGTTGAATTGCAGAAGTGCCATAGGTTACTTTAAAGGGGACATAGCCAGAGGTCCACTGTTTTAGGACCCGTACCTTTTAATTGAAAGTGAAGGTGGCAGAAATGGGCAGAAAACAGAAATAAAGAGCTAATATTCTGAAAATAATGGTGTCAAAAGGTTCAACAGTACTAAGTCTAACACTAAACATTGTTTGAAGAAAATGTTTATTCATGAAAAATAGGAAATGGAATAGCTGTCACTGTACAAACAGGTGTGAAGCAGGACACAGTTCATTTTACTACAAATCAGTGGTTTGTTTAGGCACACATACAGGAAGTATTACTGTTGTAGTAGGCAAATAATGTAATGTTACTGTTCTTTCGACCCCTGGGTTAGACTACTATAATAAGTAACCAGTTAAATAAAACAAGGAACCAGTGTTGAAAAACTACTAGGCTGCCGCTAGTGGTGGTGCGGCTCATCGTGGAGTGCAGCACTCCGTGGGTAAAGTTGGTAAAGTGACTGGAGTAGGGATTCGCACATCAATACCTACAGATCTGAAGTTGGTAAAGTACCACTCAGCAGCGCCATTGAGGTTGAATTTTTTTCTTTTGATGAGGGGGAATACGCAGCGTCCTGTAGCGCAGACGCTGAGGTACTTGAGTAGATGAGGCTCAGGGTTAGAAGTCTTAAAGCGATTCCCCCTTGTGAGAGCTGTATTAATGAAATTCCACAACCCGATTTCACAAGCTCTGAATAGTTCTGCTCAAAGTAGTTACTTTCTTTAGAGAGTAGCTGAAAGAAGTAACGGGATAAATTACTTTTTAAAAGTAACTTTCCCAACACTGGTATCAATATTGGTTCATATCTGAGCCGTTGATCGGGTCCTAGATATAACATGGCAAAATGACTCATCTCAGTTTTTGACCATGTTTTATTTGTTAAACCAAGAATGAATGTGTGATCAGAACTTCCTGTAGTCAACCACTCTCCTAGGAGGAAATGGTTATGGTTATGATAAATAACAAAGTCGTTTTTGATTTAAGAATGTTTGAATCATTTAAATTCTCTCACAAACTGAGAGAATTGTCCACTGTTTTAACTTTCTATGTTGGTGTGTCTGAATACAGAAGTGAACAGACTTGTATTAGCTCAAAATGTAGATCTCAAATGTGCTTGTTTTTGTTTTGTTTCAGTACTCCTGGAAGTGGACCCAAATTTAAACCCACTACAGTAGCCGTGGATGGCGAAAATGCAGAGGACAGTGACATGGCGTCGGAAAACGTGCCTGAAGTTGCGGTCGAAGCCCCCGTGATCATGGATAAGAGCGAGGAGGCGTCCCCAAAGCAAAGCTCTACCATCAGCTTCTCCCTGGGGAAAAGCAGCTCCTCCTCTCCGACGCAGAGCAGCAGTGGTTCCAAAGTCAGCGTGTCCTTTTCATTCGCAAAGAAGGCGCCCGTTAAGCTCGAGACAGCTGCCGCTGTGTTCAACGATCACGGCGAGGAGATAGTGGAAGAGGGCGAAAGTCAAAATGGAGAGAAGGCGGCCGGACAAGAGGAGGGTGGAACGGACAGCCCCAAACAGGTGTCCGAGGCTGTTGAAACGGTAGAAGCGGTGACTGTGAATACACCGGTAACAGAAGAGGAGCAACAGCAGCCAGAAGACGACGGAGCGTCTCTGGCGTCCACGCTGAACAAACTCAAAATGATGATGAAAAAGGAGGAGGGGTATTGCGGCCAGGAGCCTCAGTACTATCACTATATCCCACCCGCTCACTGCCGGGTCAAGCCACATTTTCAGTTCTTGTTGTTCATGAAAGCAACGGAGCAGAAGCCCGGCAAAGAGGAGGAAGACAACAAGGCAAAAGCAGAGGCGGTGACGACAGAGGTCACCCCGGAACAGACGGAGGTGAACACAAGCGAATCTAAAGCAGTTGGGAGGAAGGCGAACGTTCCTGAAACAAGAAGTAGGCGAAGTAAAGCCGGCGAAAATAAAAGCAATGACATTAAGAACAGTGAAAGTAAGAAGAGCGAAAGCCAGGCCGGTGACCCGAGTGAGAAAAAGACAAGCGACAAAAAAAATGAGAAAAAGACAAGCGACAAAAAGACTAGCGACAAAAAAACTGGTGACAAAAAGGGTAGTGACAAAAAAGCTAGCGAGAATAAATCAAGTGAGAATAAGATGAAGACTAGCCACAATAAGAAGAATGAAAGTAAAGCCAGTGTACAAACCGACAAAATGACTGGCGAGAGTAAGGATAGCGACGGAAAGATGAGCAACGGAAAGACGAGCAACGGAAAGGCTAGCGACAATAAAACAAATAACGGAAAAGCTAGCGATGGAAAAGCCAGTGACAGTGGTAAAGATGGTAAGGCTAGTGATGATAAAGATGGTAACCCTAGCAACGGTAAAGCTAGCGACGGTAAAGCTACTGCCGATAAAACTAGCAACAAAAAATTGAGCGACAATAAGACTAGTGACGCAAATGCCAGCAACTCTAAGCCTAGCGAAGGTAAACTTGGCGAAGGTAAGCCTGGCAAAGGTAAGCCTGGCGAAGGTAAGCCTGGCGACGGTAAGCCTGGCGAAGGTAAGCCTGGCGAAGGTAAGCCTGGCGACGGTAAGCCTGGCGACGGTAAGCCTGGCGACGGTAAGCCTGGCGACGGTAAGCCTGGCGACGGTAAGCCTGGCGAAGGTAAGCCTGGCGAAGGTAAGCCTGGCGAAGGTAAGCCTGGCGAAGGTAAGCCTGGCGAAGGTAAGCCTGGCGAAGGTAAGCCTGGCGACGGTAAGCCTGGCGACGGTAAGCCTGGCGACGGTAAGCCTGGCGACGGTAAGCCTGGCGACGGTAAGCCTGGCGACGGTAAGCCTGGCGACGGTAAGCCTGGCGACGGAAAAGCTAGCCTCAATAAAAGTGATACTAAGCCAAGTGATATTAAACCAGCGCGGGGTAGGAAACCGTTAAAAAGAGGTCTACATCTGTCAACGTTAAAAGAGGAGGAAGTGAGAAATCCTGCTTCAGCACCAGAAGCAGAGCCTCCTCCTCCAGAGGTGAAAAAAGACGAAACCCTTTCAGCAGACCAAACATCCAGTACCCCTATCCTCAAAATTGACAGTGCTCAAGAAGCAGCTAATTCAGACCTGGGCCCTAAAATACCTACTGGACCTTTTTTTCCTGTTTTAAGTAAAGACGAGAGCACTACTTTACAGTGGCCCTCTGAGCTTCTTGAATTTACAAAAGCCCAGCCTTCTCTGTCTTACAGCTGTAACCCTCTTTACTTTGATTTCAAATTGTCTCGTAATAGAGGTGCACGAAATGCAAAAGTGCCAAAGTCTCCTAAACCCGACGGATTAGATGAAAAGATACTAACAACTGCTGCAACAATTGAAGCAGATTCCACCAATAAACCTGATTCGAGCAACAAGGAGAACGTGGCTCTGATGGAAGAGCCAGTACAGTCTGAAGGTGACGCACTGAAGGCAGTGAGTGGCAGTGCTAAAAAGAAGAAGAAGAAGAAAAAGCACAAAAAGTCATCTAAACGATCAAAGCATAAAGGAAAGGAAAAGGGAACAGAAGAGGCAGTGGGAGAAGGTGAAATAACTCAAGAAAAAACTAAAAAGAAGAAAAAGCACAAACGAAAGAAAAGTAAAAATAAAGTTCCAGATCAAGAGGAAGCAGGAGGTGACGAAAAAGAGAAGTCTAAAACAAAGTCAGAGGATAAGATTTCCTCAGCTCTACCGACTCCACTGAGCGCAGCCACTGGCAGCGCTGGTGCTCAACTGGGGAAGAGGAAACGCACTGTAAAAGAAGTGCCTTCAAAAACCGGACCAGAGGAAGGAACATCTGCAAAGAGTAGTGATAAACCCAATCCAGCAGAGGAGCCTAGCGCCACCAAGCGGCAGAAGACCGAAGCAAGTGTTGCACAAAGTCCCTCCAGCTCTTCGACTGTTCAGAAAGGTCCCACCTCTGGTCGACCCCCGAGCAGCGACAGTGAGGAAGACTCAAACCAGCGCTCACGCCGCCACAAGTCCAGCCCCAGAGACCGAAGGCACCACAGCGAAGAGTCCAACCACTCCCACAGCCGCTCCCCCAGGCGCAGTGAGAGACGGGGCAGCAGTCGCAGGCGGCATCGCGCCTCTCGCAGCCGCTCGTACTCTAGCAGCTCCGAGCGCTCCTCTCGAGGCAGCAGCCGCTACAGCCACCGCAGCCGCAGCTACTCAGAGAGTTACAGTGACTACAGCACAGACGGCCACCGGCGACGCCATTCCAAACGCTCCTCGGACTCTGAGTATGAACGGCACGGCAGCAGAGGCCGCAGGCGGTCCAGGAGGCGTCAGTACTCCTCCTCTTCCTCTGAGGACTCGCGCTCTCGCTCACGCAGCTACAGCCGCCACAAGCGCCATCGACGGCACCGCAGCAGCTCCCACAGCTCCAGCAGCTGGAGCCGCAGCACCAGCGGCAGGTCCTACAGGCGCAGCTACAGCCGCAGCTCTGCAAGCCGCTCCTCATCCTCTACAAAAGGGTCTCCTCGCAGAGTGGTCAGGAGCAGAGCGGACAGTGACACAAACCGCAGAGACTTTAACCGCTCTCGAATCTACCGATCACAGTCTCCTCGAGCGTCTTCCTCACGAGGCCTTAACCGCAGTGCACATTCAAGTTCTCAGGCTCTGAGAATAGGCGGTTCACGAGATGCAGGAGAACAGAAAAACATGCTTACAGCTCGACAACTTTTGGCAAAAGTACAGTCCAAGAAGAGCTCTGATGATTCTGCCTCAGGAACTAAACCTGGAGGTAAGATAAAGGACCCACCGCAGGGTTACTTTGGCCCCAAGCTTCCTCCCACTCTGGGAAACAAAGCCATGTTACCACTTTTTGGAAAACTACAAGCAGGAAAGAGGCCACTGATTCCTCTCACCAGACCTGACGAGAGCGACAAAGGGAAGGGTTCTGAGTGCGAGAGGGAGATCATCCTGGTGGAGCCCATTCGTGAGTTCCCCCCTCCTCCTCCCCCGCCCGCTCCACCCGTGCTCAAGGTGGAGGAGGTTCCACAGAGCACTGTGGTACTCGACGAGGTTCAGGTACCTACCACTGAGCTGCTCCAGGAGACGAGGCCCCTGTTTGAACAAGAAGTGCCCATGATGTTGGGTCCTTATCAAGGAGAGTCAGATCAAGACCCTTCTCAAAACCCTATGATGGAGCCGCTCATGTCTGACATGCTACAGCAGGCTCCAATGCACGCATATGGTTACCCTCCACTGGACGAGGACGGACTGGAGGCCGAGGAGGATGGACTGGCTCCACTGGAGAGTCAGCCCATCACTTTTACTCCAGAGGAAATGGAGAAATACAGCAAACTGCAGCAGGCCGCGCAGCAGCACATTCAACAGCAGCTTCTAGCAAAGCAGGTGAAGTCGTTTCCTTCAGCGGCGGCTGCTGCTGCAGCTGCTGCCGCAGCCGCTAACCTGCAGCCTGCCCCTCCTCCCCCTACTCTTCAACAGATCCACATCCAGCAGCCCTCTGTGACTATGGCCCCTGGGAACTCCATCACCACAATGCAGCACGCCATCTTGCAGCACCACGCTGCTGCAGCTATGGGCATCCACCCTGGTCACCCACATTATCCACACCACGCCCAGCTTGCACAAGTGCACCACATCCCTCAGCACCACCTCACCCCCATCTCCCTGTCCCATCTTGCCCCTTCTCTGGGACACTCTTTAGGACACTCTCTGGGACATGCGGGCCTCATTCCGGCCCACCACACAGCCTTCCTCTCTGGACAGCCCATACACATCATCCCTGCCTCTGCTCTGCACCACACTCCTCTCGCGCTGCACCATGTCCCTCATGCTCTGTATCCCACCCTCTTCTCCCAGCGGCCGTCTCAGGCCGCTGCTGCAGCTGCACTCCAGCTGCACCCGCTGCTTCACCCAATCTTCTCAGGACAGGACCTCCAACATCCCCCCAATCATGGCTCCTGAGAAATGTTCCCAAATGTACCTATGTACCCAAACCGGCCATATAAAACTGTCAATTTATTGTTCAAATGATCTAATTAATTTTTTCCTGGCTTACAGAGAGCGCACCTAAGAGACACTAACTTTTATTAACTTCTTTAGTCATTACCATTTGGTAATGCCCTAAATCTTTAAGGTGTTTTATACCTCTAACACTGAACATTTTAAATGAGTGAACTACTGGAGTTTTGTTTCTTAATCTGCTCAGTTTTCAGCCAAAGACTTATCCATATATATTACGGCTGAATTATTATATAAATAATGTCAAGAAAAGGGTTACATCCTCAACTCGAGTCAAAGCATGTACTTCAGGATGGCTGTCTGTTAGCTCTTATTTCTTATACGTATATAATGTGAAGTCCATTAATGAAGGCCATCTTGAATACAGATCTTGTTTTACGAAACATGGTACCATCATTTTTAAGTAAAATTTAAGTTGGGTTTGTTCTTACTCTGAGGGCAAGCAGTTTCATGTGGTAAGGGTTTATATATGAATGAATTGCACTGATATCTGTACATGACAATGATGCTTTTTTTGCATCGTGTAACAATACGATTGTAGTATTCTGCAATAATAGTATTTTCTGTTTTTTTTAAATTATTTTCCTAAATGCTCTTTTAGGAAGAGTCCTTTTGCTTTTGTGTAATTTTGTAAATAAAACTGCTGTAGATGAATGAGTTGTAACCATTGTAGAGGTTAAAAGAGCTACTGAAAAAGGTTGAATGGACGACGTGTTTATCCAGGTAATTTCTCTTACCCCCATAAAGGCTGCATTAACATGTCAGTAGCAACTATTATTTTATAAACAACTACTTTGTTTTGGCAAATAAAATGTTGAGTTCTTACGGAGTGGTGTTTCTTTATATGACCTCTAGATGGCGTTCTTGTCCAGCACTTGTTGGAACATTTTCTATTAGAGAGCAGTGCAGAGGAGAAATGATTGCGTAGTTTTTATTATGAAGTCTTATATACAGGGGCAGAACAAAGGATGAATGTGGCTTGAGTTTACAAGAATATTCAGAATCAACCGTGTTCTCAGATTCCACATTGCAGCAACACAAATTTAATCCTTGAAATATTTGCTAAACAGCCTCTGCTCTAATCAAATATTGTAAACATCTTATGTACAGTTAAAAGATATTTTAAAATAGAAATGGACACAGAATAATAAAGACAAGTTAACACTGATTAAATAAAACTGGTCGCTGTTTTCTGGAGGCAAACAGCACTATCAAGCATGCATAAATGGCAGTGATTCTTTCTGGACTCAAAAGTAGAACTCCCACAGCAGTCAATTTGACGGCTTTTAGTTTATCAAGTATCTCAGCATATGCACCGATACATGTTTGGTCTTCATAACTGACTATTTATTTTTCTTTGTGTATGCAATTTTGTTTTATTATCATATTCTTGAAACAGCTGTTAGTTACCATAGCAACACCCGGTTTACTTACCAGCAGTTAGCGTTTGGAAGTCTTTCAACAAACCGTTTGCAATTTATCAAGTTATAAACACCAGTCTTAGCTCTGGTTAAGGTAGAAAATAAACTTTTTGGGGAGAATTCCTCATAATACCATTGGTTTGAATGGGAGCAGTCAAAATGGTGGCTCTGGGAGTTCTAGTAGTTTCATATTTTTGGGAGTCCGGGACGAATATGAATTACAATAACTGCATTTTGAGTTATACCACCGGCAATGTACGAAGTGAAGTGGCATTAGGCAACGTACATTTCAAGGTTGCGCCACTGTTCATATTCAAAAGGGATGACAAAAAGTCTGATGTGTTATCGCTGTTCTGTTAGAGGTTGCTCAGCCGAGGTATCTGATCACCAGGAACATGAAGACACAAGTCGCCAGCATCCCTCCGATCATGATCAGCTTGTCCTGCGTCGCCCTCCGCTCTATTAGCCTCATCACGGTGTTCGAAAGCCCCAACATGTTTGCCACATCCAACATCTTCTTATGGGTTCCCTACACACAAAAACACAACAGCTTAGTTTGTATCAGTAATGGCCCCACACACACATACACACAGACATTGAGATTACAAGTCTATCCACTACCAAACAATGTTGAAAGTGCGCTAATTTATATTTATAGACCAAAGATCAACGATTGTATTGACGCATGTATTGTCAGAGAGGTTTGATGGCTAAGAAGACACACCCAGATAAAAGGAGGCTTGAAGCATCCCCTCCCTGGAAACAAGACCTCGAGTCTGGTCAAACATATGCACAATAACAATAAGGCCATTGTTTTTAAAGGCGCAGGAAGAAAAAGCAGACATCGTTCTGTATATAAAAAACTGTCTTCCTTCCTTTGCCTTGTCATGTTTAACAATGCATATTCCTCATTCAATCTTCTCCAACAGACCCTCTGGCTGAATCTAGTGTGAAATATAGTGCCCTCTGGTGGATGGATTGCTTTGTACATGCAGCTCTGTGGAAAAGTGAATAAAACTGGGCCGACCTTGAGTGTGCCTCTCTGGTCTCTGAGCCCGTTGAGGATGCTGCTGCCGCTGCCCAGCAGGTCGTCCATGCCTCGATGAGCGCTGTTCAAGTTTGTGTTTAACTGTAGGGTCTCGTCGATGGGTATGGAAGTATCGGCATCCTGTGGCAAGAGAAAATACAGTTAGAAACACATACAGAGACTGAGGATTCTGGGAAATGATATAACATTCATGATGGCTTCAAAGACTCTCGTGGTTTACAAAACATATAGAATGTCAATACTGTGAGGCTATTAAAAACTATGAATGTTATGTAGTCGAACTGACAGTAATAACAGTAAAGCCATTGAAAAACTATTATTTGTCCCTTGAGACTTTGGTAAAGAGTTTAAAGGGGAAGTATCTATAATTACAACAGATGTATAGAACGCAAAATCTTTTAAATAAATTTGAATGTCACACTTTGAATGTCCCAGGCCTGACTGCAGTAGTACTGGAGTTGAGTGATATATGTTTTTTTTTTTCTGCACCCACCTCTATAGTAATACATAAATGAGTCTACGCATATTTAGTGTATTTTCCATTTGGATATTATTATATAAAAAAATAATATGATGGATAAATATGGATAATTATATGAATATCCTTTTTACTGAAATCAGAGGGAGATCCCAAAGCCCTATGGTATGTTGAGTGGGTTTTTTAGGGTTTTAGGATTCTATACAGTACTATTGCCCACTAAAGACCAAACTAATAATGGCCATAGTAAAGCAAGCATGTTTTTGTGTAGCACAGTTCAGAGATTGACTTGCATTTGTGGTGTAGGTCCGGCTTATCAGCTCCTCTCTCTCGCGCTCCTGGGCTTCTCTCGTGTATCGTCTGTGTTGAAAGTTTTGCAAACCAGTCCGAATGTGCTGAGTGTCATATTTAAGCTGGTCCACTCGCCTGGGAGAAGCGTAAACAACAAGTTATTAATAAGTTATGCTATTTGACATGATTTCAAAGTTTTTTATACATTTTATAACACCGAGACTTGCCTGTAGCATTTAATCACACAAAGTATTCTAATAACACATTTTTGCTCTAAATCTCCGTTGGAACAAAGAGGAAACTTGCGCTTTCTGAAGATGAAGGAGGATCAGAGAGGAGAGTTGTGGGATGGGGTGCACTCTGTCCCCTTAGGCCTGTTTATGCAGCTCAGAAATGAATCTTTGCCCAATGCTACAGGAATGCTGGTGATGATGGGAGTCTGGAAGGGTATGTTTTCATAGAGCTTCGTCGCCACAGGCCAGGACGGGGCTGTCTGTCTGCCTCGTCCCCTTAAACCTTCCTCCCCTCCCTCCCCCCCGTGTCATTATGAAATATATGGCTGCCCCTGGTTCTGCCAACTCTGGGGCTTTTTGCTCACCTCCAATTGATTCAGGCCAAACTTACAATTTAGCGTTCTGCCGGCGGTTTGGTGGCTCTTTGCTGGCGAGGATCTCAAGGCGTTCTAAGTGATTGAAGATCTGCTCGATTCTTCCCAACAGCTCATTTTCTAATACTGTGGAAATAGAAAACACGTTTGGATTTGTTATTCACCACTTTAACTGAAGAGTTGCTTATCAGTAAAGAGGTAAAAATCATGATAAATGTTGAATTGACATTGTGACAAATGCTTTTATATGCATTCTTTGCAAATAAGCAAATATCACGTGTCCTTCTTGAATAAACAAGTGTTATTCTCTAGTTTTGAGGTAATGTAAATCATTCTTGGAATAGATTAGTAGTTACATGTTCAAGACGGCAATAAAACACAAATCTAATCACGATGTCAGAAAATAAACAAATACATTTTATGTCAATGCCAAAAATGTTGCCAATTGTTTTATTCTGTCCTATTAAAACACATACCTAATACATAATAATAAATATTGCTTTCCTAAACATATACGCGACCTTTCAATCGCTGCTATTTAACACACAGTTCTTAATCCAAAGTCTAAACTCTGCTCCAGATAACAACAATATTGTTGAATAATCACAAATCCCTTTACAATGACTTGGCATATTGTTTGGGTCAACTTTTAATCAGTAGTAGCCTAGTAATTACAGTGTTGTTAACCAAAAAAGACATACAACATCAACTTTGATCATGCTAAAACAAATGTCCACACCTAATTGATTACATTGATCCAGAGGGGAGGCAGATGGGGCAAGGGCAGAGGTAGTAGTAGGTAGTTAGCAGTGATGTAACTTTTCAATTTCTCCATTAATTAGAAGGCCAGACAGCACAACCCACAACAACAAGGGAGAGCATGTATACTTTATCAACTTACTGTTTACAAAGAAAATGGAACAATAAGTTGATAAAGTACTTATTGTGACTGCCCTATGTAAAACTACTCTAAATATTTACCACTGCTTCTGTCCTGCCAAGAGAAGTCATCACTTGCAACCCGTCACACGCACTTTAATCTTTGGGACGAGAGGGGGGTGTGTCTGTTGCCGGACTCCCACCATTATCTACAGAGAATCCCGGCTCCCGAACATCTGTCACTGCACCCACCCAGCTGCTTCCTGCCCGGGCACCGCCATGGCACCAGCCGCCACAAAAACAAACCACCCAGGGCTGGTCGGCCAACCATCAATCCACCATCACAGAGACGGCACATAAAACCGGCACCGAGAACGCACCGTGGCACAGCTATGACGTCGTTATAATTGGAAGCTAGTGACAAAAAAGTGATGGAAAATATTATTAGTTATTTCTATAGTTACTCACAGTGTACTGACTGACGGTCTGTTCGCTCCAGGTTTCCCATCAGTGATTGGACCTCCTGAATTTGTCTAAAACAACATAAAAAACATACTTAACATTGGACAAATCTGTGTTTATTACCTGAATAGTATTTATAATTAGAGTTGGGCAGTAATAATATTCCTATGTCAGAGAGCCTTTTCAACAAACATTCTCATTTTTTTAGTATTGTCACTACTTCTAGAAAAATGTATGAGAAAATACCTAGACCTGGGACAGTTTTTTGTTGTTGTTTTAAGTGAATTGGCCCAGGAATTACTTAGCACTAAAATACCACTAGTATCTGATTTATGACACTGACCAAAGTTACCAGAAAAAAAAATTCAACTGCCTCCCACCACAGTGTTAAACTATAGGCTCTTTGGAATGTTGTGATGTTGCATGAATTAGTTGTATTCAAGTGAGCTGACAGATTCTTCTTAATCAAAACGCATTCCATTGCCTTGTTGTTTGATTAATATACAATCAATCAAGTCATATTTATAAAGCACAGTTGATACCAAATGAAACTAAGTGCTTCACATTGACCACATTTAAAAGCAACAGTTTCAAAGCAGCAATTAAAACACACAGTAAAACACACAGAGAACACATACCATAGACTTTAAATATTATTACACAAAGGCCAAATGAAAACACACGCCCTCCTAATACAAGTTTGATTACCATTTGATTACAGGTTTTAATAAAAGCTAAACACATTTCTGCACAGTATTTTATTAGCTAATGAACAAGCACCGTTATAAAAACTAAATATTAAACTAAAATACTAACTAATTTATCAAAATACTCATTTCTAACACTTCAATATTGTTTTACTTTCTGAGTCTCAACCAAGCCATTTTTCACGGCGGTTTAGCAAGAAAATTAGACCGAAACTATTCAAAATAAATGTATTGAGACATTATTACGTCAATATTTCTCATGTGATTAGCTTATATTAGTAACAGTGACCCTACTTAAGATACAGGTGAAATAGTTAGCAGCATATGGCTGTGGAGAAGACAGCGGACTCACTTGTTAGTTTGGTGGTAAAGCGTGTCCATGTTTCTGTTTCGTTGTGTAGTTTACTTTATGATTTATGACTTTATTCTCTAAAGTAGGTTTGAGTCTAGTAGTGATTTAGCCGAGTTAGCTTCTCGGCTAACACCGGAGAGAACACGTCATCAGCTGTGTACGGAAACCCACAACCGGAAGTGTCGTGTTGTTCACCGAGATGTTGTCAAAACAAAGAGGTCTCACTCTGACTCTGTGGACAAAGACTAAAATCACAAGTAGAAGTTTATAATTTTTGTCTACAAATGTAATATATATATTTTTTGGCTATGGAGCACACACTTTGATAATACAACTATATTTTACTTTATGTGTTTTTTTTTTTTCCAAACACCAATAGACGATCGTATGTCACACTCTCCTTACAGCGGTGAAATTATCGCATGCTCCTTTTGGACTTGTCTCTTTTATATTATATCTATTTTTCTCTTAACAATTCTTCCGTTTAATATTTCTGCTGACTTAATTATATTATGAGTAAGCTAATAAATCCAAGTAATTTCCGTTGTGGCTTAATAAATCTGTGGAATTATGTTATGCCGTTTGGAATAATAAATCACAGTTGAATCCTTTATTATTATTTATTTTATTAAAAATTAAATGTCCTTTAATCAAACAAATGCTCAAAAAAAAAAAAGTTAAAGAACGCAATCAGTATTTAGAATATGTTTACACAAGTGATGCAAGCAGATGTCTACAAATGTCTTTATAACAGGATGAGCTTAGTTTCAGACGGTGAAACAAATACAATATCTGCACCCATATCAGGACATAACTCAAAACCTAAATTCAATCTTACTTGGGTGAGATTACTATATGACAACTGTAATTTGAGCATATGTGTTATTCAATTATTGCTTTTTTTTTCAAGCTTCTTTGTACTAGAAGTGCATTTTATATGCTTAATACAGCCAATATAGTAAAACATACAAGCTTTGATCTGTCATTGCTTGGTGATACATACGTTTGATTTAGTATTTATTTTATTATTATTATTGCGGAAAGATGTGATGTGAGATCCTCTTTCCCAGCTCCCATGGGACAATAACATAATCTGTTGACATATGACAGGACAGACTCAGTGAAACATGTCCTGGGGCTGGTTTATGTCAGCTCAACTTGACTCACTCTAATTAGCCTATCCACTTTTTTCCACAAATAGGTGTCAAGGTATCAGCCTGTCTATCCTGAGCTTCCCTCTAGCCTGCGGTCATTGGAGACACCAAGACTGATGATATCGACTGGAGGTCACATTACAAAACCCTCTATGAAGAATTGTCTTAAGTCAGAAGACAAGGCGTTGCTAAGTTTATCATCAATGACTGTCTGTGTGAAACCTGCATGCCTAAACTTCCCAGATCAATCTAATCAAAGTACATTTCGCAACTGTGCTTTCCCTAATAATATAGAGGTGATAAAATTACCCCGAGGTGCTACTTGACACGCAAACACACTATTGCCTCACCTTGCTCTCTGTATTTAAAGCTAATTGTCTTGATTAGCATCTTAAACCAGGGCAGTGAACTGTAACAAGCTCCTGTTTTGTTGTAGAAAAGGTTTCTAATGTGAGTGTTTACCCCACCGAGCAGCCATGCACTCAGCGGACAACTCCAAGACAGTTTTCCTGATGGTACTTGAGTTGATGGTTGTATCTCCAGGCTAGACTCCCTCCCTCCCTCCAACAGTGGTCCTTTTCACCAGCCCCCGCATGTCAAAACTCTAGGATCTTTTCGTGCCACTTCTTGCTTCAGTGGGTGTTTTTTATTCTTTTGGGTTGTCATAACATATCCGCAAGGCATCAAGTTTGGAGGTGCATGGTTTTAACTTTACCTGCGAGGAGGAGAAGAAGCAGAGGGACCTTCCCATATAGCTTTTACATGTGTATAGCGTTGGCTTTGTCTGCTTTTCACAGTCTGGCCTTTACTCTTTGGCCTCCGGGAGAGTCTGACACCAGCTTACTGGGCTTCCTCCAGTCCACACCTGAGCACCACAGGCGAGAGCAGCCGCTGAACTTCACATGGCCTGGGTTTTCGAAAATTAACGTCACATTTTATTGAGACAGGCTCATGTTGACTAATGCATGATTCAGTACAACACTGATGATTACTGGCCTCACCATAGGTTTCAGAATGATGGAAATGAGGACAGGATGGTTTTATAATCTCCTCAAATCGTTGCGCCCTATAGTTTATTTATCAATCAATCAGATATATACAATTTGAACTTATGTACATTCAACCACAAAAACAGAAGGTAAAAAAATATACAAAAATACGTTGTTTGATTAGGGGTTGGATGAAGCAGATGCCTCTATGGCTCCAACCCGCTCAGTCAACACAATACAAAATATACACACACACACACACACACAAGACATACGGACACACACATACATACACGCACATGCACAAACACACACACACACACACACACACACACATACATACACAAAATACACCCACGCCTATGTTTTTATTCTGTTCCTTTACCAATCATTTCTTTGTTGCGCCATATTATGTTTCATAATTATTATCATAAAAACAAACATTCAGTCAAGTACTACAAACATTAAAATAACAATTAACATTCAAAAGGGATTTTTTAAAATTTTGTTTCAATTACTTACTTTTAGGTCTTAAAACAAGATTTACCAATGGGGAAAGCAATGGGACTGTAGCCTTTAATTGTAATTTCAATAGTATTTACTTACTTTCCCTTAAAAACAAGACTTGCCTATTCTCTAGTAAAAAATGAAAAATATTTGATCAAAAATGTAAGTTAAATAAAAAATGTAAGTTCAGCATTTTTCTTTACTTTCTGTAATGTTTTATGCTGTACTAATGTCGTGTATAATATCATCTTAAACACATTCATTTAACATAGAGCTGTGTTTGAACCATCAGAGAGTATGTTTTTCTTTCAGCAAGAGAACAGAAAAAGTACCAGAATTGAGAAACCACAGAAATGGGACAAGAAACAAACAATCCATTTTGGAGGTAATCCAGATTATCGTCTGAATTGTTACAGAGAACTACGCCTCTTGGGGGAGGTATGCGCTTCACAGGTGCTTTTCTAGATGGTAGAGTATAGTGTTGATGGAGATTTGATTAAAACCAAATCTGGATCAGACAGACAATACTTCAGGAGATTGGACCTTCCTATTTCAAGGTCAGAAAACTGTAGACAATATTTACTGTTTTGGCAGAACACTCTCTGCCCAATTTGAACTGGAATGAGTCTAACAGCATTTGTCCTTTCTGTGGGTTTGAATCTCCACAAACCTGACTCTTATTGTGCTCAAGGAGAGGCCATTTTCTCCATAAATCCAATATCTACTTTACCAATTTGACTTTAAACACATCTCCAAAGAGAAAGTTCCAAGGAATGGCCTTCATTTCTCTATTGTGAGATCAATAAAGCATTCTCATCTCTTCTTCTATTTCCAGGAAGAGACCAGAGAGGGAACAGAGAGAGAGACAGGAGAGAGAAACCAGAGAAAGACCAGAAAGAGAGACCCGCGAGAGACCCGAGACAAGAGAGAGACCGTGGTAAAGTCAGTTTTACATTTGATATTCAACATATTTGACACATTCAACATAGAATATGAAACTAACTTTACCGTAGTACCAGAGAGAGAGAGACTAGAGAGAGACCAGAGAAAGGAGACCAAGGAGACCAGGGAGAGACTAGCGAGAGACCGGACACAAGAGAGACCAGAGAAAGATCCAAAGAAGCCTAGAGAGAGACCAGAGACAAGTGAGAGACCAGAGAGTCTGTGGTTTTATATTCGATATTCGACATATTCAATATCAAACATAAAACTAACTTTACCGCAATATCAGAGAGAGAGCAAAGAGAGACCAGAAAGAGAGACCAGAGAGAGAGACCAAAGAGAAAGACCAAAGAGAGTTCAGAGAGAGAGACTAGACAGACCAGAGAGAGAGACCAAAGAGAGAGACTAAAGAGAGTCCAGAGAGAGAGACTAGAGGGAGACCAGAGAGAGAGACTTGAGAGAGAGCCCAAAGAGAAAGACCAAAGAGAGTCCAGAGAGAGAGACTAGAGAGAGACTAGAAAGAGACTAAAGAGACTAGAGAGAGATCAGAGAGAGACTAGAGAGAGCAAAGAGAAAGACTAGAGAGAGACCAGAGAGAGACTAGAGAGAGCAAAGAGAAAGACTAGAGAGAGAGACCAGAGAGAGACCAGAGATAGACCAGAGATAGACCAGAGAGAGACCAGAGAGAGACCAGAGAGAGACCAGAGAGAGACCAGAGAGAGATCATATTTCCACTCGTTCAAACATCAAACATTTGTTGCACATATTTCATGTAGAATCAAAACCTATGGTCGGATTCACATCACACTTTGAGTTTATGAACTATTGAGGAATCCAGACAGTTTCTAAATATTTAATGTCATAAGATTTGCGGGTCTTAAGACTTTTAAGTAATATTCTTGTGTGGTCAAAAGTTCATAACAGAAAGGCATTTCCTGATGGCAGACCTGGCTTCACTGGGGTTCATACTAAAGTCACCCAAAAATGAAACCACCATTTTGTCTGGTATAGGGACGTTTTTGTAGAGAAAAGAAGAAAGTGCTTACTGAGCTGTGACGACGATTACCGCTATTTTACTCATTAAGAATAAATTATATGTTATTGGGTTGCTTTCATCATATTTAATTATGTTTTCCCGTCAATATAGTTTGTACATCAACACTTATTGCACAAGACAGGCAAAGTGAGGAGGCAAATTATGGGGAGCAGATAGCGCCTCGGGTCAACAGTTTTTGGATACCAGTCATTTTTGAGAGGCACACTGATCTTTCTCCTCCAGACGCCTCCGGAGGTTATCTGTTCAACTTTGAAGCTTTGATGAGGCAATGAATGAAAGCAAAAGATCACCTGTCACCGTTCACCACATGCCCTCGCTGTCCCCGGATCCTCTGCCTTTGTCTGATCGGAAATGTCCCATAACTTATTTTTTATTGTATATACTTACTTTGTTATTATGCTAAAGTCAGAGATTTTGTACTTTATTCTTGAATCTTCGTAATAGATAGATAGATAGATACTTTATTGATCCCCGGCGGAGAAATTCAGGTGTCCAGTAGCAGCAGAAATAAAAATAAAATTGATCATTCTAAAAAGATAACAATAGTAATAATCAGCAACAGCCCTTCAGGTCACAGCAGCAGAGGTGGAGTAGCCTTTGGGTGGAGCAGGACGGGTCACAGCAGCAGAGGTGGTGTAGCCTCTGGGTGGAGCAGGACGGGCACAGCAACAGAGGTGGAGTAGCCTCTGGGTGGAGCAGGACGGGTCGCAGCAGCAGAGGTGGAGTAGCCTCTGGGTGGAGCAGGACGGGTCGCAGCAGCAGAGGTGGAGTAGCCTCTGGGTGGAGCAGGACGGGTCGCAGCAGCAGAGGTGGAGTAGCCTCTGGGTGGAGCTTTGCTGAAGCTTATTATGCTAGTATTTATTCATTTATTCATGTATTTATTAATCTATTATGTTTTTTAGGGGTGGGGCAGATGGGGTTTTGTCAATTTGTCCTTTTTTCCATTTTGTAAAATATAAAACTTAATAAATACGTTACACACTGATTTCTATTTGGGCGTATTGATAGTCATGATAAGAACATTTCAAACTTCATTAAAACTGGGTCACTTTTTAGACATGAATCATACATTATGTAGGTCCTTAGAACAAAATAGACCACTGCATGTCTTTATTTTTCTGTCTGTTTTTTCTTTCGCAAACCTGTCAGAAAGAGCCCTGAGAGTCACTGTTTGATACTTTGGACTGAAACCTAAGAGAGGTCCTTCCATTATCACTTTCCTGTCTGAAAAAAGTTGATCTAAACTGACTGTCTATTTCTGAGTAGGACCGGCCCTGGCTGCAAAAAATGTAGGTTTGAGGATTTTTAATCTCAAAACCAGCAATAATGGTTTGGATTATGTTTATGGACAGAATAATCAGCTACTTTGATAGATTACATAGCAGATCATTCTAATTAACTTGTTGACTGCCGGCTGTTTTTGTTGATTTTGCCGACTTTCAAGATCCACAGAATATTATGTGCTATGACTATGGGAAATATGGAACCAGATTCTGAAAGATTGGACTGTCTAGTTTCATCAGCAAACAAATGTTGGTTTCTAGCTAGTTTTGTTCTCCTATAATCCCCCGTCGAATACAGGGAAGTTTGACAGAAATCACCAAGACAAATATGTCAATGGCAATCAATGAGTTAATGTAAAATGTTTCATTTTCAATAATAATAAATGCATTGTGGGTATTTCTTGAGACTAGAGCGTTGGGTTTTGTGACCAATGTTGATTTTAATATTACTTTACTTATAACAACACCTCCTGTCTGTCTTCGTCCCAAGCCTTTGATACATTTGTCATGGTGTCTATTAAAATGTTATGCAAATTCCACTTCAAAGGCAAAATATTTGTATTTGAACAAAGGAGACGCACACAACATTGTAATGTAAGAAGTGTATTATAATCACATTCATTCAACAGTTTATACACACTAAATCAAACCATACTATGGCATTTCACAGTAGCCAAACAAAAGCTTTTTCTTTTCTCCTTTTTGTGGCGTCAGCTGGGTAAATACCACCCTTTCATTTCTGATATCCCTTTTATAATCGCGTTTTCATTCAAATAATGTAACGTTCACGGCTTCATTGTCTCTTGTTTCCTCACAGCTGCATGTTTAGACTGACCTCAAAGTGAAGATCCTTGTGCCGGGCCCCATGCAGCCGCAGCAGCCGCATCAGCCCTGTGGCCAAACCGGGACAGCTGGGTGAGAGATACTGTCCACCCCTTCTGCAGGCTGCTGATTCTCACACAAACATAACAACGTGGAGTTTCCCTGTGCCATACAATTATACTACTCATTATTAGACCTTCAGCTTTTTTTAATTTTCTTGTTGAGGAGGCCCGTCCCTGTGCTCCTCAGAGTCCGAGGCGGTTCATATGTCCCTAACATGTCTCAGATGTACTTTGGTGCGAGGCCATGGAGAGATTTGTAACAAACAGATGTTTTAAAGTCTAAAAAGTCTATTCTCTGAGTCACAGGAAGCCAGTGCAGAGATCTGAGAACTGGACTAATGTGATCGTACTTCCTGGTTCTAGTCAGGACTCGAGCTGCAGCATTTAAATGTACTGCAGTTGTTTTACTGCTCATTTGGACCTGTGAGCAGCCATTACAGTAGTCTAACCTACTGGAGACAAATGCATGGATAAGAATCTCCAAGTCTGCTTTAGACACTACGTTTTTGATCCTGGCAATGTTTTTTAGATGGTAAAAATCTGCTAATGTTACTGATTTGATGTGGCTATTAACAAATCAGTAATACTACAACTACTACAACTAGTTTCTTTAGGCCACAGCACTAATAATCATAGTTGTCGTCCTGTGAATGTTTGCCTGAGTGCCAAAAAACCCTGGGACGCCGCTGTGTTTTTGTCTTGCTCTGCGGCCGTCAATAGTCCCTTAACCAGATCGTTTTTCTCAGAGGTGCAGCTTGTTGAGGGAACACCAGGCCTCGTGCTTTATCTGTGTTTTTCTCGTTGTTTGTGTGAGAAACTTGTGTTTTTGTGCGAACGGAGGTCAGTGTTCACGTGTGTAAAGAGGGGCTGCATCCGAATTCAGAAGAAAATACCTCTTTCCTTCTTCGTCCTCCAACTTCTCAATGATCTTGGTGGCATTAAATATAATCTAAATGACATCCAAAACAGTCTTAAAGATCACGTCAACCCTTTCAAAGCCACCCTACGTTTATAAAAAAGCAGGAAAGGAAACGTAAGGAGGTATCTTGTATACATTTGGATGCGACCGGGGAGAGTAGAGCCTCTAACATCAAGGAGGCATGGGTTTTTATCGGATTGCGTTTGGTGGAGTGCATGTAAACTGCAGGTGTCTCTGTGCAGGAATGGCAGCGATCATGGGAACAGCCTCCCCCAGGAGTTTCCCAGTGGGGGAGCTCAACAGGGCGGGACCAAAACGTGTAAATATGGATCCATGCCGGGTTGATTAGATTTCACAGTGTTGAAGCAGCTGCATTGTGAGCGGCGGAGATGTTGCTTCTTACAGTGTGCTTCTCTGTTATATTAAACGTTATCTAACTATTACAGATGTTTTTGCGTCTAACAAAAGTGAAACATATTTGGGTTTGGCTCTCATTCTTTCTCTCTTAGAACATTGCCGGTCTATGAGGTACATGACTGTAGAAAATGACAACAAAAATCCCCAAATCCCCAAGACATACCTTTTGGCCTTAAAAGTTGATGCCAAAAGGTATGTTTTGTTTTAGTGGCATATTTCACTTAAAGAGCTTATTTTTGTCCTATTCTAAGTAAAACAAGACGTAATATGCTTATAAAGATTATGTTCATATTTTAAAAGTCTCTTATCTGCAGATGTGCTGGTGTAGCAGGAGGCACTAATTCATTTATAACTTCAAATATACACAAAATGAAATGTATCATAGCTCTGTCAATAATTGCAATTCCAGATTATTCCAGATTATTTTGATCTCTCTCTTAAATAGGGAACTATACTATACTATACTATACCACATTAACAGTCGTATGGCACTTGTTTATATTATCAAGTTTCAACACTATTTTGCAGCTTGTTCTTTGGAATTTATCAAAACTTTTGAACTGCTTTTCCACACAGAAAAGTCTCATAGGGATAAACAGACTTATGCAGTTCTTTTTTCAGGTTTACAATAGTTAAATATGTTCTATTCAGATGTTTTTTTCCCACAAAGTTAAGGGCATTACAATACTCATTCTACTAATAACACATCAATGGTTCTCCTACTGACCCGCATGCTGTAAATCAGAGTTGTGGAGGGGAGGGTGGTCCGTGTTGTTATCATCTGCTGTGGTGTCATATGAGACGAGTGACCTCAGCAACCTCACTTTGCACTTTGACAATGTGTGGCTTAAAGAAGAAATGTCACGCGTTATTTTCGGCCAATTAAAAACAATAGTGATATTTTTAGCTGTGTCTTTTATAAATATTACAGACAATATTTGAAGTGCAAAATTATCAATGAAAGGTACAACAGATGGTATTATGTAACTTTGTGAGTAAAGGGGTCTTCTAGTAGCTATCATGTTTTTAGCGGCTGTAAGCACCGACTTGTAAATAACCTTTTTTGTACAAGTCAACAGTTGTATTGATGAAAATGTGTTTCTTTCTTTATTATATTAAGAAAAACTTCAGCGGGGTCATGTTAAGAATTATAAATCATAACATTTAAATTTTTTTTTTTTTGTCGACAATAACTGTTTACTTAGACTTAACCTTTATATAACCAGGAAAACCATTTACAACACAACCCTCAATTAACTCTATCTAAAACATCAATACATTCAGTTATATAAACCATAGAAATAATATATAATAATTTGCATTTCCAGGTCTCTCGAGCGTTGCCAGAATGTACAATAAGTTTCCCATCTCCAGAAATAAGCCATTGCCTGTACATGTTTTCCTCAGTTTGCCGTCGGTTCACCCCCGTTGCCCAGCTAATTGCCCTGAACATGTGTGTTAAAGTCTCATGTGGACGTGGGACCTGTCTCCGTCTCATCGACTTGTGTGGGTGCCCAGAGACCGTCGCCCTCTGCCCTCCCATCGCGGTATGCACTCAGCCCTGTCTCGCTCCAGGCGGTGCATGTTCTTGTTATGGGTTGAGCAAGTGCATTACTCATTCCACATACCAAATACCAAGCACCTGGCGTATTCCCCATCTTCCATCTTCTCCTAATACGGCGCCAAATCCATCCCTCCCTCTTAGTACCATCATCTTTTGTCATTTCCATTGTGTCTCATTGCGATCTCCAGGAGCGAGGATTAAGTTGGATGCTATCTATCATCTTCTCTTCAAGGCGGAAGTCTAGGAAGTTTGACCTAGGGCTCACTGGTTCCTATTACAAATCGCTCCTTGTCCTTAAGCAGAATATCTACCCGGATTTCAACGCTTCAGTGAGAATCTACTGTTTCTAATAAATAAGTGATGCATAAACCCAAGTGGTATGTTTGCTTCTCTGGATATTATCTTTCTGTCTGGCCATAAAACTCATAACAAGGTGTGGGCAACCATATTTGTGCATCAGACCATAGCAACAATGAGAGGAAGGAAGTTTTAACATGCCAGCATACAGTATATTGCACAATTTTTGAAGTTAGATTTCTTCAGAAAGGTTCAAGCCATGTGATTATTTTGTATATTTGAACTCCCTCATGTAAAAGCTATGTTCCAAATGGGACTACTATATGTGTCCATATAGTAGGCATGTCCAAACTAGGTCGCCAACCAACTTCAGCTCCACCAATACAGTCGTGCTATACCTTGGTGTAAAGCCCAGACCCTGTGGAATCCAGTTGTTGACTCTATTGTTATTAACTGACATGTGTTTTATGATTGTGTTCCAACATTCCAAATGAAATGCAGCTGTGGTGTAAATGAATAAGGACGTATCATCAAAAAAACATTTTAAATTCCAGAATCCAGTCAATCCAGCTCAAATCCAGTTTTTTAAATCCAGGTTGTATGCCCCAGGTCAAGTCTGATGAACTAAAGTCAGTGGCCCTCTTACTAAAAGGTTTGGACACCCCTGCCATATAAGCAAGACACCTCACCCACATTGTCTAATAAAATAAAACGTATTCCTTTCCTTCAACTTCCGTTTCACACACAAGAACAGAGTGGACCGGCTCATTTGGGTGAATCTTGAGAAATGTGTCACCCTATGTGTCACCCTACGTATCACCCTATGTGTCACCCTATGTCTCCTCAGTGTGTCCTGGGTCTTCCCTTAGGTCTCCGCCTGATGGGACATGCCGGAATACCTCCCCATGCAAGACGTCCAGGAGGCATCCGAAACAGATGCAGAGCCACCGCAACTGGCTCCTCTTGCCGTGGAGATGCAGCGGCTCTACTCTGAGCTCCCGTGTGAGCACCCAGCCACTCTGTGAACGAAACAAATTTTGACCTTGGCTTGAGTCTTGATCTTGTCCTTTCGATCATTTCGTGATGACCAGGTGAGGGAGGATGAACATGGATGGATCAGTAAATTTGGAGCTTTTAAACTTGCTCTTCACCAAAAGTACAACTCAGAATAACTTAATAATCCCAGTAATATTACAATCTTATCCCTAAAAATTGCTACAATCCCTAACCCTAACCCTCACGCTGGTTTTCCTGTGTTTTTCTGTATTTATTTTTTGGTTCTTGTGAACAATGGCTGGTTTTGCATAAATATTTATATTATGTGTGTTAATATGTGGGTTTTTTTATAACTACAAATGGCAAATAAACTGAATCAGGTTCTGAGGAGGACTTCATGGATGATATCACTGTGATATCGAAGCCCAATTTTGCCTGCACCTCTACACTTTTGTGCCCGTCTATCTTGCATTGCAGCCTTTACCTGAACCAGACATGTAAGCTAGGGTTACCAGAGCGTCTGTTTGTCATTCACGCTGCAAAAGTGACAACAGCAACAGTAGCTGGAGCCCGTAGCTTCAAACCGACTACAAACATGCCGGCAATGACCACAGGTGCAGGGCAGGTATGCGCACAAACCGACATGCAAAAAGTCCGACCAAGCATCCCCTCTGCTTCTGTGGGAGCCAGTGTTGTCACGATACATCTCACATTTCGCTTCAATCTCATGCAAGGGAATTCGAGAGATACTGTTGCAAGTTTCAAATCAAAGCAGTGATTGCAGTGGGAAATTAGAAATTGCAAAAAGA